ATGGCTGCCAGAGAGTTGCCATTACTGCAATGTTGAGTTCAACCAGTCAGGTGAGATCTACTCGTAGGCAAGTTGTTACGTAATGTATGCTAAAGCATCAGCCAGCACAATTGTGCAGATGTACGGGCAGGCCACACCCTGACTGTTTGACTGATTCTGCTAACCCAGGCAGAAAGGGACAGCTGTGGGCCTAGCTATGAGGGCCAAATCCACGCCACAGCTGCAAGCACACAAGAAGAGGGCAGACGTGTGAAGAGTCCATTGAGTTGGCTCCCAGAAAGATCAGCCTGTCTGTACCTTCACCCCGTGCTTGCCCCAGCATAGCCATTTTAAGATTGCCGAGAGTTTGTTATTCCTACCCTAATTTATGCCTGTAGCACTTAGGATTGTATTGGAGTAAGTTAATTAAATGTTGAGGAACAACTTGATGAAGTGTGAGTGGGTAAAAATGTATTTCTGTGAAAGAAGGATTGAAATATTTAGTAAGAATAAAATTGAAGGGCTGGAGTAGTGGCTCAGTGACAGAAACTCCATCTAGAATACTCAAGACTCCAGTACCATCCACTACACTGCAGCAATACCTGTCTCGAAAAACCAAAAAAAAAAAACCAGTGATAATTATAATTAATATTATTTATATAACAATTTCTGTTGTTTGTTGAAGATTGCTTTTCCAAAAGATGTGGCTGAAAAAGTTGATTTTAAAGTTAGAGAAAACACAACAATTGAGATGAAATCTTGGGCTGGAAGCATGACTCAGTGGTTCAGAGCACTTGCTGTTCTCCCAGGAGACCCAAATTCAGCTCTCACAGCACTTTATGCCGGGGCCTCATAACCACCTAACTCTAGCTTTTGAGAATGATGTGTATTTTTCTGGCCTCTGAAGGTACACACACACACACACACACACACACACACACACACAAATACACAGAAATGTCTTTTTCTAAGTGATGAAATTTCTACTATAAAATCAAAGCTTTGCTTGACATTAAACAGCTTTAACGACCTTAAATAAAACTATGGTCCTCTAATAAACAAGTATGCTAAAATGGCATCCATTTGGGTTTCTTAATTTTAATACTGTAATTAGATAAAAATATGTGCTCATACGGAGGTGACATGTCAGCCTGTGTGAAATCTTCTTTTGAGAAAGAGGGAGAAAATAACAGAGACATAAGGAGAAAATACAGATACAGAGAGAAACGGAGTGGGGGATTATATCACAGCTGCTGAGCTTAAATGAGATATTATATAACTGTTTATTTACTGCTTTTCAACTCTCAGGAGGGCTTAATGTTTTTCTAAAAATTTTTCAGTCCAAGTAACTAACAAATCATTCAGTTTGTGTCAGTTTTAACATGTTAAACTAGCCAAAGGCTCTGATTTAGCTCTTTTTTTTCACCTCAATCATAATTGCCTGACAACAGCCATGTAACTCCCATGTGTACCACGAAAAGTAAAAGGCCCAGAGACAGATATTGGGGTTCAAGCAAAGCATCCAGCCACTAGCTTCTTACCTCTTCCTCAGACTGAAAGGACTGATCCTGTCTCAATGAGCTCTCACCAAGCTTCAGACTGTTGCCTCTCCTCAGCGTGGCTGGAGAATGAATGCCTCCTACTGACTCCTTGCTCCTGTCTTTTATACCCTTCTAGTGCTGGGATTAAAGGTGTGAGCTATAATTCTCTTTTAGACTGATACACTCTTGTGTAGATCTGGGTAGCCTTGGGCTCACAGAGATCCGTCTACCTCTTAATCCTGAGTCCTAGGATGAAAGGTATGTACCATCACCTCCTAGCTTCTGGCTGCTGGGATTAAAGGTGTGTACCTGGTTTCTATGGCTTGTGGCTGACTTTGCTTTCTGAATCCTCAGACGAGCTTTAATAAATCATAAATAGTATATCACCACACCCATGCGCTAAAATTCCAAGTTCAGGGTGAACCATAAGCTTCCATTCAATGAGTACAGAGTTTGTTCTGGATATACAGCACAAGTAGGACATTGATATGAACAAGAGTGGAAGGTCCCTCCTCTCCTAGGACATGCAGCCATTAGGAAAATGTACATTAACCATGTAATTACAAAAGTTCCACAAGAGTAGGATAGAGGGAAAATGTGGTCTAGAGGAGATCAGCAAGGATAGACTCACTCAAGCTCTAGTTAAAAGGTTTCCAGTAGTGGAGGCTGGAAACAACTGTCATTCAAAAATTAATGATAGAGAGAGAGAGAGAGAGAGAGAGAGAGAGAGAGAGAGAGAGAGAGAGAGAGAGAGAGAGATTTAGGTAGACAGACAGATAAAACAAACAAAGTAAATTGAATTAAGCCTGCCTTGTGGCCCATTTAATATTCTCTAGTCTAGAGAATGGCCAGCATGCCCCTCCCTTCCCTGGACCAGATGCTCAAGATGCAGGTGTCTGTGACTTGTGAGAGGCAGAGTTTCTGGTGATCTATGGAAGACTAAGCAGTACTAAGCAGAAAAACACAATGGAATCTTGAAATTTGCTGGCAAATGGATGGCACTAGAAGAAACCATCCTGAGTGAGGTAACCCAGTCACAAAAAAGAGAAACTTGGTATGTGCTCACTCATATATGGATTTTAGACATGAATCAGGGGAGTGCCAGCCTACAATCCCGCTGCCAGAGAGTCTAGGAAACAGAACCTTCATCCAGTGACTGATGGAAGCAGAGGCAGACACCCACAGACAAACACTGAACTGAACTCCTGGAATCCAGTGACAGAAAGGGAAGACTGATGAGCAAAGGGGTCAAGACTGGGCTGATTTAACCCACAGAAACAGTTGACCTGAACAAGAGGGAGCTCTTGGACTCCAGACTGATGGCTGGGAGGACAGCATGGGACTGATCCAGACCCCCCCGGAATGTGGGTGTCAGTGAGGAGGCCTAGGTAATCTATGGAGCCTTGGGTAGTATTTATCCCTGGCATATAAATGGACTTTGAGTGCCCACTCCACATGGAGGGATGCTCAGCCTGGACTCTTGGGGGAGGGCCTAGGCCCTACCCTGGATGAAATGACATACTCTAGAGATCCCCCATGGAGGGCCTCACCCTCCCTGGGGATCACAGTGGGGATTGGGAAGGGGGTTGGGGGGGCCAAGTGAGGGCAGGGGAGGAGGGAAGGGAGAGAGAGCTGGGATTGACATATGAAGCAAGCTTGTTTATAATTTAAAGAAAAAAAATTAAAAACAAAAACAAGAGAGCTCCATGAAACAGATTCCTGGGACCTTGTCCCTAAGTTTCTGATTGAGTGACTGAGTTAGTCATGGGGCAGAGATGAGATGGCATGGACATTCAGGGAAGCTGAGGCTAATGAAAGTGCAGTTAAATATATGTCTGATATGAATGTAGACAGTTAAAAATCCAGAAAGGCAACGTTGAGATAATTAAGTCTTCCTCATGCCAAACACCTGCGAGAAAAACAATAAAGACCGGGTCTTATGAGAATATCAATAACCACAGCTCAGGGAGACTATCAATGCCTCAGTCAGCTACTGGCCATTCATATAAATCACAATGTTTGTGAATGGGGTGAGGGGGGAAAGAGGGAAAATCATCACCCACTCAACTCTGGGAATGGCGGAAAAGCCTCCTGTCATCACCTCAGGAAATAGACTCAGTTAATTATGTTTTGAGACTTTCCCTTTTTAAGTTACACAAATAGAACTCCCTGTTTCCTTTGTAATTTACCTACCAGCCTCCTAGACTTGTTAGGTCATCAATTAGCAATTGGTATCATCAATTATCAATCATATCTTCATATAGAAGCAAACTAATTTGCATTTAGTATTAACTAAAGGAAACAATAAAGGAAAAGATTCATATATGACCATAGAATATATCATTTATGTCAAAGCACATATTAAATCTGCTACTTATAACTATGTTTCTTCTTGTTTTTCTGTAAATGTGTAGTATATTTTAGAGTTGGTTTGTATATCATTTCTAAGGGCTAAGCTTGTAAAGGCGTCGAAGCGACTAGACAGATAGAAGATTGTTAGCTCAGTGACATAGCTTTTATTCTTTACATAAGAAAGGCCATTCTGGTATCAGCACAGCAAGTGAATGTTTTAAAGACATACAGGAACATCAACATTTTCATTCCAGAGTTAAATGCTATCTCAGGGAAAGTGAAGCTTGGAATCTCCTGTGGGAGTGTTATGTATTCAATCATGATATATGGGATACAGTGCACACAGGACAGCCAGGTACAAACAAATATGCATCAAACCCAAGCATGCGCACACACACACACATACACACACACCACACCACACACACACCGCATACACACACATATGCCACACACACACATACACACACACCACACCACACACACACCGCATACACACACATATGCCACACACACACACATACACACACACCACACCACACACACACCGCATACACACACATATGCCACACACACACACACCACACACACTACATCCACACACACCACACAATACACACACCATACACACACACCACACAATACACACACCATACACACACACACCATACACACACACAATACACACACCACACACCATACACACACACCACATACCATACACACATAACACACACCACACACACAACATATACACACACCAACACACACCACATACACACACACACACACACATTCTACTAAACCTAAGAAGATGCCAATGTTAGGCTACTTTACACCTACAGCAATGGTAGTTTCATGCAGTTCAACGTTTTATTTTTGTGGAAAAAAAGGAGAGGGATAACTGACTTTTCCTTTTCCACAAATAATCGCCTAACTTTCTAAATGTGATTTAAAAATGGTGGCCCTTCTATGTCATTTGACACTTCTTCTATGGTGTTATTTTTTTCTATTCACTTTTATTGATGAATTGCCCATGTTATGTGCATCGCAAGTTAAAGGGTCCAAGGTTCAAAGAACATACAATGGGTTTGCTATCCATTAATTGTCCTCTTTTGCTCTTTTCAGGGCTGCGTCTGCAAAGGCAAGGGCCAGTGCCTCTGCATGGGGACCAAAGGGGAGAAGGTAAGAAGAGAGCTTAACGCTACCTCTCCACACTAGAGTCTGTCACGCTTCGCTGTTCTGTAGCGGAGATCACAACTACATTACCAAGTTCCATAAATCCACGTTTAAAGTAATTGTATATAAACATTAACCTTAAACAATGCTGAAAACCTTCTAGGAAGCTTTGACTAATCCCTTTACCTTGTCTAAATACTGGCAGTTAGACTGTAACTTTCTCCGCTGAATAAGTAGCAAGTTGGCAGGGTAAAAAAGAGCATTTTAAGAAGCCTCCCTAGCATAAACTATATTTATGATGTTGCTAAACATGAGAGAAGAAATTAAAACAACTTGATTCTCTCGCTTCGATATAAACATTGAAACCCACAGATGCTGTGCCGCAGCACTGGACAAGACCGCCCCCTAGTGGCAGACTCTGGCAGCAGCACTTCAGTCAAGGAAAAAAAAATTCAAAGCTCCATTGCAGAATTCAAAGAAAGAGAACGCCGTGAAATCTCATCAGTCCGCTCCATTAACTCGCAATTTATGACAATTAAGACAGGGGCAGAGCTAAAGTATTTTTGTTTGTTTACAAACCCCTTCCTCGGAGACATTAATTAATTGTTCAACAATACTGAAGGGTAACTATTACAAAATATTTCAAAGAATCACATTTTAAGCTTTGTAGATAAGACAATTTACATATAAATATATACTACTAATAATAATTATTTTACTTATAGATACTATATCTATAATTCGCTTGTACTAGTGTCCCTCCCCCTCCCCAGGAAGCCAAGATTGTAGCCTGTTCATATTTACTCTGGAATGCACTCTCTTTGTTCTTGAACGTGCATTCAGGCATATATTGAATTGCAGCTGTATGCATGGTGCAATTCTAAAACATGCGAAAGTAACTAAACTATGAGAAGGGTCTAGCAAATCCACCTCTTTGTTTATTGGTGTGCTTGCAGACTTTCGATCTTTTCTGTGGCTTTGTTTAATTATTGTGCTTGCCAATTGTAACAAAACGAATTGACTAGAGGCCCTGACTGCTGAAGACTGTTCCCTGGTATTCACAGTCATAGAACGGTTTTGTTGGCCAAACTGCATTTTGCTCACCTCTGCCAGGCACTTCCCCACAACATCATCATCTAGCTCCACCTACAAAATCATTTGGTTCACACTTGGGACCCCTCTCCTGCAGCTTCTATGGAAATCATTGATTGGGAGATGCATTCCTGGGCAACCAAACAACTCACAAGCCCGTACCTCCATGGTATTCTGTTCTCATTCTGTCATTACGAAGACCTTCTACCTCACCGTCTCCACGCCTTAATCAACACACTCCACTAACCTTAATTTCCTAACCATACTGTCCTTGCAATTCTTGGTCCCTTTCCCTCTAATGTCTATCCTGAGTAGTAGGGCTGCCATCTGGGAAGAGTTGGTCTCTACAAGGACATGAGCGCCATTCTGAAACCCATGGACATGTATAACTAGATGGTGGCATTCCTGGGAGTTAGTGCTAGCTACTGACTCCCTGTTGCAAGGGATGACTGTTATAAAGAGGAGTGGTGTAGTACAGCGTGTTGCTAGCTAACTGCAGCTTGCTTCTGGTTTCATTTTGGTCTTAACAGGGGGAGAAAGGCTATCCTGGAACCCCTGGTTTTCCTGGCCAGAAAGGATTTCCAGGTCCTGAAGGCTTTCCTGGACCACAGGGACCCAAGGTATGTCACGCTGCAAACTTGGTGAATCCTCTGCCTACCTAACCCATCTTCGTGCCTACCACATAGGCCACTGGGGCCTTGAAGAGAATTCCCCATCTTAGGCACCTCATGGATCAAAAACAAATTCTTCGTCTTCTATCTTAGCTGAGCTTTCAGAACTGGAGTCAAACATTAGGCGACTAGATGCAATCCTTGTACCCCTATCTCTAAGGACGAATGAAGGGTTTGGGAACTACAGGCCAAGCACTAAAGGTAGAACCAAGTGTCTGTTTACTACAACTAAGAAGCCAAAGCCATACACACAGTTAACAAAACAAGTCCCATGCCCAGGAACTCTACCATTCTTATCTTGTCTAAGTCAATGTTCTCTTTCTCTTTTCCTTCTTCTGATGCTAATCTTGAATTAAGGTGGGAAGATGGCTTAGAAGATAAAATGTGCTGACTATACAAGCATGAGGACCTGAGTTCAGATCCCCAGCACCTCTGTAAAAGCCAGACATAGCAATGTGCATCTGTATTCCCAGGCCTGAGAGCAGAGAGGAGGAGACAGGGGATACATGGAGCTCATTGGCCAGCCAGCCTAATTGAATTGATAAGATGGAGAACAATAGAAAACACCTGTCATGTCATGAGATCTTATTTTCAAACATGGCTTATAGGTACATACAGCCCCAAAGGAGAACTTGACCGAAGGCAAACAACCAGAGAACATTAAAATCTTGCCAAAATATTTTTCAGATTTATAAGCTTCCTTTCTCAGGGTTATTTTCTGCACATGAAGATTTACAACAGGGAAATAAAACCTGCAAATCTGTCTTCTTTTCTGCCCCCTGTCTAACACAAAGCAGCTCCCACAGGGGAAAGAAACAGCCTTGAACCCGGCCTTGCACCCAGGAATTCCACCTCAGAAGGGAACGGCTGACTTTGGCCTTGATGATCCAATGTCAGAAGACCCTGTAACAGCCCTTTCTGGAAAAAAAAACCTGAAACTCTCTGGAATGATTAAAAAAAAGCGTTTGGACAATGGTGGTTTCACAGCAAGTGGCTTAGTTAAAATATTCTCCATTTAAGGAGATTCACTGTGGAAGAGGGTCTCAAATCAGGATTCATTATGAGCTGGAGGCAAAACTATCTTTGGTACAGGCAGTCCCTACTTTGTTAATTATTTACTCCTACGTGTCGGGCACATTGTGTTATGAAGTGTTTCTCCTGCACAGAATCACTGGCCGCTGGTCTCCTTTGCTGCTATAACCATGGTGTCCTTCCTTATCACTCCTCAGCAGGCTAATGTGGGTCTTTTACAGGCTTGCAGGCTTCCCAGGGCAGGAGAAAGCTGACAGAATCCTGTGGAGATGTAGATTCTGAATCAATATGACCAGGAAGAGGGGTGGGGCTGTTTGAGACCAAGTTCCTGGTCATTGGTTCCTGATCCTACTTTGAGTAGCAAGGGTTTGAATGCTGGTTTGTTGGTCCATTGTGATTGGTACTTAGTTGGAAGCAGCAAGTGATTAAACTCTATCAACAGTGAAATAATCACAAGGCCAAAACTGCTCAGCATGAGACAAGTCTGGGGCAGTGGATGTGTGGTTATCATAGCACCAAATGGCTTTTACCGTACTGACTTTTCCTCTTTCCACTTCGATCTAGGGCTCTCCAGGACTTCCAGGACTCACTGGTCCCAAAGGCATCAGGGTTAGTAGTCCTGCCCATCCTTTGTGATGGTTGGTTGAACACTCTCCTTCTAATGGTAGACGTTATTCAAATGTCAGAGAGGAATAAGTACATCGTGTCTGGTTCAGCAGATGAAGTGTAAGAACAGGAAAACTAAGCCACTGGCTGAGGCCAAAATAAAGGTCACCACCTTAGGGACAGATGTGAACTGATAAGGAAAGGGCTCAAGAGAACTTTCTAGAGAGTTGGTGATGCTGTTGCTGTTTGAGGTTAGGGGTAATTATGAAGTGACTGTAAGTATGCCAGCTATGGCAATACACGCCTAGCATTTCCATTGGACGTTAAGGACAGCATGAGCTATGTAGCAAGACAGAAGGAAGGAAGGAAGGAAGGAAGGAAGGAAGGAAGGAAGGAAGGGGAGAGGAAGGGAGGGAGGGAGGGAGGAAGGGAGGGAAGAGATATATAAATATATATATGTATATATATATATACACCATGCTTTTCATAGAAGACGTAAACATTTTACTACATGTAAAATATACCTTAAAAATGAATTTCAGCCAGGTGTGGTGTCTCACATCTACAACCTCAGCACAGTGGGGGGCTGAGTCAGGAGGATTGCTTCAAGTTCAAGATTGGGCTGCCTTGTGATACTCCCAGGCAGGCCTGAGCTTTAGAGTGAGTCCTTGTCTCAAAGAACAAACAAAAAGAATCCCCCACAACTAAAGCAGCCATAACAACCCCCTCTTAAAACTTTCCACAGGGGAAAGGGCTTGTGGTGCCAGCCTGATGATCTGGGTTCAATACCGGGAACCTACTTCACTTAAAAAAAAAAGAAAAAAAAGAACAAGTTCAGTAGTACCCAAGGCCAGCACTCACATATACAAATAGAAGGTGGATATAGGAGAATTCACTGGTTAGCCTGGAGTGTTCTGCATGGTAGACATACAAAGAAGCCCAGCCTCAACAAGGTGAAGAAATAGAAAAAAACTCCCCAAAAGTTGTCCTCTGACCTCCACAAGTATGCTGTGGCACATGTGTCACAAACACCACACACAGAGACATAGACAGACAGACACACACACACACACACACACACACACACCACTTCTATAAATGGGAGGCAGGGACAGAAACTGACAAACTCCAAGCCAGTCCAGAATATGAACATAGTTCATTTGAAACCAGCCTAGGCTACATATATAACAAGACTGACTCACTAAACTAAACAAAAATTTAAAAAGTTGTACAATGGCCAAATGCACAAAGGTTTGTCGAGCCTTTTTGTTTTTCTAATCATTTTTGATGTACCCAATAAATAGCTGCAAAAAAAGATCATTGAAACAGCAAATAACTGTGTTTATAGAATTAACATTTTAAATTATTTTTCTCTCTACCCCTCCTCTTTAACCTATGTTTAGGGAATAACTGGATTACCAGGATTTTCAGGTCCTCCTGGACTTCCAGTAAGTAATGAAGTAATGAGAGCCATGCGTGCGTGTGTGTGTGTATGTGTGTGTGTGTGTGTGTATGTGTGTGTGTGTGTATGTGTGTACATGTGTGTATGTGTGTGTGTTTATATATCTGCTATGTGTGTATATATGTATGTATGAATGTATGTGTGTAAATTTGTGTATGTGGTATAATGTATGTATATGTATGCATATGGGTATATTCTTGTGTATGTGTGCATGTATATATATATGTGTGTGTCTACATTTGTATATGTGTGTATACGTGCATTGTAATGTGTGTATATGTATATATATGTATACGTATATATGTGTATGTATGTATATGTGTATATATGTAGGTATGTGTGTATGCGTATATATGTATGCATGTGGGTATATTTTTGTGTATGTGTGCTATGTATGTGTGCAGGTATGTATATATGTGTGTCTACATTTGTATATGTGTATGTGTGCATGTATGTGTACATTCATATATGTGTATGTTCCTACTCACATGCTCATCTTAGGGAAGATATTAAAATAGGCACAGATAGAAACACATCTGATATACATGTTACAAGAAGAAATACACCCTAGGACTGACCATGGCAGAGTGAGAATTTGTAGGACTCTTGAGGTGATAGAACAAAGTAGGATGACCCCGTTTGTAGCACAGAAGAGTGACATAGTTCTCAAAATCTCCTCTTTCCTCCCTTTCTCTCTCACTTAGAACAGCACGTCATGTGATCCCACTTTCTGCTTTCTAGACGTTTGTTTTATCTGAAATATCCACACTTCATCCAACAATCTTTATCTTAGCATGTTTTGTTTGCTATGATACTAAATTATATCAAAATTTACAATGTAAATTTGCTATGTAAGCACCTAAGCAACCATTTCTAGCTAATAGCCATTTAAAGCCATCATCATTTCCCTTGAGACATTTCTGCAGGGTCTGGGTCTTGTGGAATTGCCTCTGCTGTGTCACTGAGTCTTGCTCTCTTTCCAGGGCATCCCAGGCCACCCTGGGCCTCCTGGGCTAACTGGTCTACCAGGGTGCAATGGTTCTAAGGTACGTCCTGCTTGCACCGGTGATTAACGAGAGCACTGCTGAATGAATAAGTCAGGAAGAAGCTATAGTGAGATGAAGTGTGTGAGTGCAGCCTCTAATAAGTCACATGGCTAATGGCGGCACACGGTTTCCTCCTACAGAAGTGGACTTTCTAGAACATTGTTTCAATCAGAAACAATGGCGTTATTTTGAGTGGGAATTGCTTCTTTCTCCTTATGCATGGTTTTAAAGGGAGTTGTCCAATCTGCTCCCACAGAAACTCAATGGCTTATTCGCATCAGAGGTTGTAGCTACCAATCACAGACTAAAGCTTTGAGTACAAAGTTAGTGTCTGGAAAGAAAAGCCTGAGCTTTGCAGGGTCCTCTTGCCTCCTGTGTGTCCTAACTGAGCCCTCCCCTCCCCTAGAAGGGTGACCACCAGTGAACTAATTACTAAAGTTCCAGAAGCAGCAATTAAAAAGTTCTTGGCACAATTAGGCTACCATTTATGCCCAATTTGAGAAGCAGTAGACCCTGATCTTATTTTCAACTAAGATAATGGGTTTCTGGCCCTCAGCACTCTAAGCAGTAGCCATCAGGAATTTGAATTAATTTGCCTAGATTTGTCACCACAGGGGTTAGAGGGGCCACTGGAGGATAACTATCTGCATGGGATGTTCTAGCACAACTAGGAACTCTGACAAACTTTCTGTGTCTTCTAGGGTGAACAAGGATTCCCAGGCATTCCTGGGACACCAGGCTATTCGGGGCTCCCAGTAAGTTGGCATCCCTAAATCCACATCACAGACATGAATTACTGACGCACACAAACCTCTCCTGACATTGGGAAGGCTGAGAGCTTGTCAGACACTAAAACAGAAAGACAGCCAGGAAAGAAGGAAGGAAGCAAGCAAGGAAGGAAGGAAGGAAGGAAGGAAGGAAGGAAGGAAGGAAGGAAGGAAGGAAGGAAGGAAGGAAGGGTTATAAGATCAAGTTTAGATATTAAGACTGTGTTTTACTTTTGATACATCCACATAAAGATGTATAATAAACAGACTGACTGGAAGAGAGGATGTGGTCAAGCTTCTACCAATTCAAAGTGAGAGCAAAGAAAGCAGCAATTTGAAGGTCAGACTTCACTTCTGTATATAACTTCTAGGTCAAGAGGAATGAGCAGGGAAAGGAGAAAAGGCCCAACAGCAGAGAGAAAACAAGGAAGCCCTGGTGAAGATGCACTTCAGTGAAGGATGGGGGAGCCATTACTAGAAAAGTCTAGTAATACAAGGACTGATGGCTTGGCCTTAGCCAATGACATGAAGTTATTGCTGACCTTGGAAAGCAGTGTTCCTATGATAGGAAGGAGCTAGGAGGCATGTGTGGAACTGGGGAAATTGGTGGGAGAAGAACAGTATGTAAATTTGCAGGCAAAATGAAAAGAGAGACTGTCTGTATTGGAGGGAGGCAGAAGATGAAGAAGAAACTGTTGATCTGTTGACATGTGGAGACTTGAGCATGTTGAAACCCTGTAGCAGGAATGTTATGGGGCCAGCAGGCCAAAAAGGGAGTGGAGACAAGGTCAAGTGGATGGATTTGTTTGGCCTCTGGTGGTTAATGCATTGCTTCTTTCCCAGGGCCCTGCTGGTTTGAAAGGACAAAAGGTAAGTCATTTGTCATCTACTATTACATGTGTATGAAAAAGACTTCAATTAATTAATGAAATATAAACTATTACAAACTGACATCATATACCATGTCTTGATGTTAATAATTCAGACACTAAATAGACATTAAAACATGGCACTTTCTCCTATTGAGCAAATTCCTCTGGCTCTTGGCACAGACACGTCTTTGGGATGGTTATGTCATCCTTTAAGGAAGGAGGATTTAGGGGAAAGGAACTGGTCTCATGTTTGAGACTCTAAGTTCTAGGTTAAGAACTTATTTGGGTATCCTGGGAAATTATTATTTCTTTTCCTCCTTATCACAGTAAGTTGTCAGTATTTAAAAAATAGTACAAAAGGAGGAGGAGGAGCTTGTAAAGTCCCACCCAAATGAGGATCTGTAGGCAACTAATGATTTCTGGGGAAGGAAAGAGATTTTCCTCAGTGGTATAACCACTGGCAAGTTTTCCATGCACCTATAAATAGCCCCGTGGCCATGGCCCTACAAGAAACCTTAACTAAACTCATTGGTTTACCCACACACAAAAAAGTGGGTGGGAGAAAGATGTGGAGGTATGGGGGTCTATAATCAGTAGGAGAAGAATGGGGGGATGGTGAGGAGTGTATATGATCAAAATGCATTATATATACAGGTACAAAATGTCACAATGAAATTCATCATTATGTATGATTTATATAGGCTAACAAAAAACTTTTAAGAAGTTCTTCAAAATAGAATAACTGCAAATTTTAAAACACTTTTCTAGGTATATACATCCTCCCAGACACTCATCTTTGAGGGGATATGACTTGAATAAGCACTTAATGTGGGGTCTTTTGAAAATATAAAGTTGATTGGAGCTGATGACTGTCTCTGTTTTCAAGGGTGAGCCTGCTCAAGGAGAAGACAGGGAATTCAATGGAAAAGGTGACCCTGGGCCTCCAGGGCCTCCAGGCTTCCAGGTACAATGCTTCCAGAAGGATCTCTCATTCATATTCATATTATATAATATTTATACTCTCTATCTCCCTCCCCACCTTCCTCCTTCCTCCCAGCCTCTTTTTCTTCTCTTCTCTCCCTGTCTACAATGCCCACCTCATGTGTCATTCTGACATTGACCTCATTAGGAGAAGCAACACGCTGGTATGCAAAAATGACATTGTGGACATCTTTTAATCTCTTAAGTTTCTGTCACTTGAGTCTCTTCAGGGAAGAGTTCTCTCTCTGTGTATTGGCTGAAATCAAGGACGGGTTCACACCATGCATCGACTACCACTTAAAACTGGAGTGTTAAATGATGTCCTGACTCCAGTATTTACACAGCATCTTTAAGAGTTTTATTGAAGCATGGCTCTCGCCCCTTGAGCCCCTAAGAGTTTGCTTCACTAGTTCATCTGTAGCTAGCCTGGGGGTGTTCCATAATAAACCCAATGAGACATGGCTATTTGGGGTTTGTGTGTACTTTGTGATTCAGAAGAGTCCTTAGGTAGATATCTAGTATAATTGCTAAATTTCAGGCTAATTAACCATATGTAACTCACCTCAGTTCGGAATTCAGCGTGGGAATTTCTGAGAAGAGACGGGATATTAGTCTCATTGAGTCAGAGTTTGCGTTGAGTCTGTGGATGGCTGGTGAACCAGGCCAACAGACCTATCCTGGGAGACTGGGCTAAGAACAGAGCAGCCCTATCCTGGCTAACAGACCTATCCTGGGAGACTGGGCTAAGAACAGAGCAGCCCTATCCTGGCTAACAGACCTATCCTGGGAGACTGGGCTAAGAACAGAGCAGACCTATCCTGGCTAACAGACCTATCCTGGGAGACTGGGCTAAGAACAGAACAGACCTATCCTGGGAGACTGGGCTAAGAACAGAACAGACCTATCCTGGCTAACAGACCTATCCTGGGAGACTGGGCTAAGAACAGAACAGACCTATCCTGGCTAACAGACCTATCCTGGGAGACTGGGCTAAGAACACAACAGACCTATCCTGGCTAACAGACCTATCCTGGGAGACTGGGCTAAGAACACAACAGACCTATCCTGGCTAACAGACCTATCCTGGGAGACTGGGCTAAGAACAGAGCAGACCTATCCTGGCTAACAGACCTATCCTGGGAGACTGGGCTAAGAACACAACAGCCATAGGAATGCGGCTAGCAGCGGTGATGGGCTTCTGAAACTGGCATGGGGCAGGATGGCTCTTGATCGCTTGCATAGGAATCAAAGGTGCAGAAAGGAGAATAGTGACCAGCAGCATGGCTATCCCCTGCCAGTGCACTTCTGTGCACTACTTACTGTGCAGGCGCTAAAGACAGGGCAATGCACTTAAGGTTCCTTAGGTGCCAGCTATGCGGCCCAGATCAGTCAAAAACCAGCTCTAACACTCTTGTCCTCGTGGAGACTATGTTCTAGTGAGTAGACAGGAAAAAACATCAATCAATAACAGTACCAATTGTGACACCATAATGAATGCTAATGAGAAAAATAGTGTCAGGAGCAGAGACAGGACCTATCAACGGGGAAGAAGGACTCCAACTTTGGACAGACAGAGAGGGAACCCAGAGCTCCAGTGGCACAGTCAATTAACTCGAGGTACTGATCCAGCTGAGAGGGCAGCCTTCTGAGAAGGTCAACTGTAGAGATAAGGGGAAAAGTGATCATATAGGTAGTTCTAAGGAAAACTAGGCAGGAGAGCTGTTGAGTGGGGCCAGCCCTAAAGGAGGAGGAGAAACACTGTCCAAATCAGGGAAGGAGGGAGAGAGGGAGGGAGGGAGGGAGGGAGGGAGGGAGGGAGGGAGGGAGGGAGGGAGGGAGAGAAGAGCAACACTGCTCAAATACAGGGAAAGGAGGGAAGGGAGAGGAGAGGAGGGGAGGGAAGGGAGGGAAGGACGGGAAAAGAGAAAGAGAGGAAGAATAAAACCTGAAAACTACCCAAATCAATGTGTTGTTGGTCATGCTCCTGTATGCAATAGCATCAGGTTGTCCTGGGTATCTATAGCAACGAGTCTGGAAATTACCTGGTTGTAGTCACTTAGAGGGGAGGCAATATGCTCTTGGGATTTCATTAAAGCATCTCTGTGGCTTTGGTGTTATTTGACAAGTACATTAAATTCAGTCTTCTCTTAACTTCAAGGGTTTCCCAGGCCCCCCAGGTTTTCCAGGGCCTGCTGGTTCACCAGGTCCTCATGGAGATTTTGTGAGTATGAAGTCCCCGCTGCTATGCATTCTCAATGTACACATTCGTAATAGCAAAATGTTTTAGAGCACTCTCTGGGTGGGTGTGATTCCTGCTGTAACTTTTGCTTACATCTCTTGTAGGGTTTTCCAGGTGCCGTAGGACCCAGAGGACCAAAAGTAAGTCTGTGTCCCTAAGTTGTAACAGTCAGGGAACCCTAGCCAGCCCAAAAGCCTAGCACACCTCTGTGGGTACCTCCCCAGGATCTTAGGAGTCCCACTTAGGAAAGGGGACAGGACCAGCAGTAACTTAATCCCTGACTCAGAACAATGGGGAAAAGCCAGGGTTTCTCACGGATAGGTTTCCATTTCCTGTAACCTTCCTTTATCTCATCAGTTCTGTAGCGAGCTGCTTTGCAAAATCCATGTGCTTTCAAGTGACTAAATGAAGGTGACGGGGTGTGGTCTTTAATCGGGGTACTTCAGGTGTTTCTATTAAAAACAAACAAACAAACAAAAGAACCGAAGGGCTTAAGGATAGAAATGTTGAACGAATAAAAAAAAATCAAATGAAAGAACGAAGGTGAGCCTCACCGAGGAAGTATTACTGAGCCCTGTTTCTTACTGACACTAATGACCTGGTGTACAGGACAAACATGCTCTCACATTTATAACTTCATTGATGGATGCATGCAAACAACCTCTCTGTCCCTGTACCCGCCCCCCCTGCCCACCCTTCTTCTCCTTTCCTGTCTCTCATGGGTTCAGATTATGTGGATGGCAGCTGAGGCCTGAAATCTCTCGATTCCCCTGCAGTTTTCTATACAGATGGGACACAGGCTGTGGGAGCTGCTTTTCTCATTATTGAGATGCAGTCCCTGACAAAAGCAATTTGAGGGAGGAAAGGCTTAGTTGGGCTCAAAGTTTGGGGGTACAGTTCACCAAGTGGGAGATCATGGCAGCAGGGACATGAACCTGGTCATGTTGCATCCATAGTCAGAAGGAGAAGGCAGGTCTGCCTTTCTCTTCAGTCTCCGACCCCAGCACACAGAATCCTGCCACCTGCCCACACTCAATCAACCTAATTCAGAGGCATGGCCAAGGGTCACCGCCATGGCGATCCCAAATCCCATTAGGGTGACAATCAAGGTCAACCACCATCCTCAACAGTAACACACTCAAGAGCACAAAAGCTAAATGAGGCTTGGGAGAGAGGAGCCTGGGTGGGGGGAGGGGCAGAACCAACCCAAAGTAAGTATGTATGGAAATGCCGCAAGGCAATGATACTTTGTATGGCACCTTAAAAATAAATTTAACCCAGGCATCAGCCTGGGAATCCAGCATGGGACTGATCAAGACCCCCTGAATCTGGGTGTCAGTGAGGAGGCCTAGGAAATCTATTGAGCCTTGGGCAGCAGATCAGTACCCATCCCGAGTATACACACGGACTTTGGACTCCCATCCAACAATGTGAGGTGCACTCTCACCCTGAACTCTTGGGGAAGGGTCTAGGCCCTGCCCTATATGAAATGACAGACTATGGACACCCCCATGGAGGGCCTCACCCTCCCTGGGGGAATGAGGGGATAATGGAGGGGGGGTTGGGGGAGGGCACGGGAGGAGGGGAGGGAAAGGGAGAGGGACCTGGAACTGACTTGTGAAGCAACCTTGTTTCTTATCTAAATTTAAACTGAAAAATAAATAAAGAAAAAAAATAAATTTAAAAAGAAAAGCCACAGTTCAGCAGAAACGTTTTCTAGAAAAGAATGCCAGATAAACAATGATAGAAACATATCTCCAAAGCAAAGATTCACTGTGAGACTAGACTGTTGACAGATTGTTTGGAGCAGAAATGACACATTCTCAGCTAAGAAATACACACATAAAATGTGTTATTGTATGTACATTGCCACTACATGCACACTTCTACATGGCAACCTTAGGCTGTTTCCTTGGGGGAAAAAAAAGCCGTAATGTGAAAAAAAAAATTGATTTTACATTATGAACATTTTGTAAGGTTTTCCTCCATGTTTCTTTTTTATTATTTAAATCAGAAACAAGCTTGTTCCACACATCAATCCTAGCTCCTTCCCCCTCCTCTCCTCCTTTGCCCTCAAGGACCCCCCATCCCATCCCCTCTCTGTTCCCCAGGGAGAGTGAAGTCTTCCATGGCGGGATCTTCAAAGTCTGTCACATCATTTGGAGCAGGACCTAAGCCCTCCCCCATATGTCTAGGCTGAGAGAGTATCTCTCTATGTGGAATGGGCTCCCAAAGTCCACTTGTACACCAGGGACAACCAGAGGCCCCATGGATTGCCCAGGCCTCGTAACTGACCTTCACGTTCAGGGTGTCTGAAACAGTCTATCTGGTTTCCCAGTTATTATTCTGGGGTCCATGAGCTCCCCCTTGTTCATGTCAGCTGCTTCTGTGGGTTTCTCCAGCCTGGTCTTGACCCCTTTTGCTCATCATTCATTCCTCTCTGCACTGAATTCCAGGAGTTTGGCTCAGTGCTTAGCTGTGGGTGTCTGCTTCCCCAATGTTTCTTAAGAGAGTTAATTAGTAAGATTAGGACACTGGACCACATTTAAAAGATTGTTTCATATAATCTTTCTTTTGAAAACCATTAAAACAAGAATAAACTGCCCTTGAAAGAGTTCTATAAAAGATACTGCTTCCATGGGTTAGCCGTTGGTTTTTTTGTTGTTTGTTTGTTTTATTTTTTGCTTTTTTGGGTTTTGTTTTGTTTTGTTTTTGTTTTTTCGAGACAGGGTTTCTCTGTATTGTTTTGGAACCTGTCCTGAAACTCGCTCTGCAGACCAGGCTGGCCTCAAACTCACAGAAATCCGCCTGCCTCTACCTCCCGAGTGCTGGGATTAAAGGCGTGCGCCACCACCGCCCGGCATGGGTTAGCCAGTGTTATAGTCTGTTTTCAGTTGTTTTAACAAATGGCTACAGACTGGGTAGAAATGTATTCCTTACAGATTTAGATGCTGAGGAGTCCAATGTCAAGGGACAACAAGGCTTTTCCTTTTAATTTTATATTTTTTAATAATTATTATTTTTTGATTTAGGTTAGAAACAATCTTGTTTCACATGTCAATCCCAGCTCCCTCTCCCTCTCCTCTTCCCCTGCCCTCCCCACCAGGTCCCCCAGTCCCCCACCCAATCTCTACTCAGATCTCCAGTAAAGGGGAGGCCCTCCATGGAGGATCTCCAGTAACTGTCATTTCATCCAGGGCAGGGCCTAGGCCCTCCCCCAAGAGTCCAGGCTGAGAGAGCCTCCCATATTGTGACATGGGCACTCAAATTCTATTTGTGTGCCAGGGATAAATACTACCCAAGGCCCCATAGATTGCCTAGGCCTCCTCACTGACACCCACATTCAGGGAGTCTGGGTCAGTCTCATGTTTTCCACACAGCCATCAATCTGGAGACCAAGATGTCCCCCTTGTTCAGGTCAACTGTTTCTGTGGGTTAAACCAGCCCAGTCTTAACTTCTTTACCCATCAGTTTTCTCTTTCTGACACTGGATTCCAGGAGTTCAGTTCAGTGTTTGTCTGTGGGTATCTGCCTCTGCTTTCATCAGTAGCTGGATGAAGGTTCTGTTTCATAGACAATCTGGCAGTGGGATTGTATGCTGGCAACCCCCTGATTCATGTCTAAAATCCATAAATGAGTGACTACATACCATGTTTCTCTTTTTGTGACTGGGTTACCTCAAGTATAGTTTCTTTTAGTGCCATCCATTTTCCTGCAAATTTCAAGATTCCATTGTTTTTTCCCGCTGAATAGTACTCCATTGTGTAAATGTACCACATTTTCTCTATCCACTCTTCAGTTGAGGGGCATCTAGGTTGCTTCCAGATTCTGGCTATTACAAATAATGCTGTTATGAACATAGTAGAACAGACATTCTTGTTTTATGAATGTGCATCTTTTAGGTATATGCGTAAGAGTGGAATTGCTGGGTCTTATGGTAGACTGATTTCCATTTTCCTGAGGAATCTCCATACTGATTAACAAAGTGGCTGTATGAGTTGGTACTCCCACCAGGAATGGAGAAGTGTTCCCCTTTCTCCACATCCTCTCCAGCATAAACTGTCATTGGTGTTTTTTATTTTAACCATTCGAGACAGGAGTGAGATGGTATCTCAGAGTTGTTTTGATTTGCATTTCCCAGATGGCTAGGGATGTTGAGCACTTTCTTAAGTGTCTCTCAGCCATTTTAGTCTCCTCTACTGAGAATTCTGTTTAGTTCTGTACCCCACATGGGAGATCTTTCCACCTTCTGTGTCTTCTTTAATTTCTTTCTTTAAAGACTGAAAGTTCTTGCTATACTTGTTTGGTCTTTCACTTGTTTGGTTAGTGTTACCCCAAGGTATTTTATGTTGTTTGTGGCTATTGTAAAGGGTGATGTTTCTTTGATTTCTTTCTCATCCCTTTTATCGTCTGTATATAGTAGGGCTACTGATTTTCTTGAGTTGATCTTGTATCCTGACACTTTGCTGAAAGTATTTATCAGCTCCAGGAGTTCTCTGCAAGAGTTTTTTGGGTCACTTATGTAAACTATCATATCATCTGCAAATAGTGAAAGTTTGACCTCTTCCTTTCCAATTTGTATCCCCTTGATCTCCTTTTCTGGTCGTATTGCTCTAACTAGAACTTCAAGTACAATATTGAAGAGGTATGGAGAGAGTGCACAGCCTTGTCTTGTTCCTGATCTTAGAGAAACTGTGTTGAGTTTCTGTCCCTTTAGTTTGATGTTGGCTGCTGGTTTGCTGTATATAGCTATTATTATGTTTAGGTATGTTCCTGTTATCCCAGATTTCTCCAAGACCTTTATCATGAAGTGGTGTCAAAGGCTTTTTTAGCATCCAGTGAGATGATCATGTGATTTTTGTTTCTCAGTTTGTTTATATGGTAGATTACATTGATGGATTTTCATATGTTGAACCAACCCTGCATGCCTGGGATGAAGCCTACTTGATCACGGTGGATGAGTTATATTTACATGTATTTCTTTATTTGTAGAACATACATGACATGGCACATGTGTGGAGGACATAGGACAACTTGAAGGACTCAGTTCTCTCATTCCACTATGTAGGTGTGAGGAATTAAACTCAGGTGGTCAGGTTGCCTGAGGGTACCTTTACCCATGGAGCCATTTTGATAGTCCCTGTATAAATGATTCCCTATAGAGTGCAGACACCACATGAGGAAACAGAATGACACATGTGGGAGACTCACTTTCCTCCCCCACAACTCACTATTCCCTGAGTCCATGAATGAATTAATTGACTCATTTTTAACTGTTCTGCCAGCCCTACCTCTTAATACTGTACAGTTTGTTTTATAGTTCCTCATTAGCTGTGATGAATGTTCAGACCACAACAGCCATTGTTGATTAATGAAAACAATTCAGCTCAAGTGGTCTCACATCACTAAATTACTACATACGTGACATGGCTTGCTTTCCACTCTTGGATTTTCTGACATGAATTGAAGAATCTTGAAGTTCAGTTACTCATCCTCTTATTTTTATCATGCCAAAAGTAGGGCATCAGGAAATGAAGCAGCCAGTAAAGAAGGTTAAGCAGGCAGGACTCACCCGGAAGTAGCCTGCCAATGAAATCAAAACCAAACAGTGACTTCCCCGAGCAATTCTCTCTGCACTAGGTTCCATTCACCACTCCCACTTGTACCATGCGTTATATTAAATGAATCTCCAGTTTCCTGGGCCCCCAAACATCTGCCTTTAAGAGAAACGCATTGATGTTCTTCTATATAAATATTAATATAGCTTTATAATTTCAAAACTAAGATGGATATATCTTACAAAGACTGGAACTTTAATGAGTTCCAATTTTTAATATTTATTTTTTAAACATAATGGCTGTAGGCAGGGCGTTGGTGGCACACGCCTTTAATCCCAGCACTTGGGATGCAGAGGCAGGAGGATCTTTGTGAGTTCGAGGCCAGCCTGGTCTATAGAGCGAGTTCCAGGACAGCCTCCAAAACAATACAGAGAAACCCTGTCTCGAAAAAGCAAACCAAACCAAGCAACCAAACAAAAAACATAATGGCTGTATTCGAAGGGGTGCAGTAGAGAAACTGCTCCATTAGTGAGGTGAAGAGAAAAAAAAATATCCAGAGTACCTGGAATAATCCACAGCAGAGAAAAAATGTAGCAGACTGGACATAACTAAGAGAGGGAGAGGGCAAGAGACAATAGCAGAGACAGTGAAATGACAAAGATTGCTTTGGGAGGCACTCTGTCTTTACAGAGAGAACAAACAGAGGGAGGGAATCCTGAGGAGGTGAAAAAGGCCTTGGAAATATCAAACAATTATTTGTGACTGAGGATCCTACTCTGGGCTCTGATATGCAACACAGGGCCATGTCAATGGAGCCATATGTCCCCTTTGCCAGATGCAAGAGAAATGGCTCATTAGGGGGACATCTCACAAGTTCCTGAGGAATGCTGACTTACTATCTAATGTCCAGAAACTCCTCTGTAGTCCTGCCTGAACTCATTTCTAGCCGTGTGGACTTCCTGACAATGGCATTTCACATTGTCTTACAGGGTCATATGGGCGATTACGCCATAGGACAAAAAGGAGAAAAGGTAATTGACATGCTACAGTGTGTGTTAGTGAGTTTGAAGAAGTAAGCTCCCGGGTGTATTTCCTTCTCTTCACCAGCAATGTTGAAATGAGTGCTTCCATTGACTGTTTAGTTGAGTACGAGGTGGCAGTGAAAACAGACCTTTGAGAGAGTACAACTTTTTCATTGATGTTGGGTGTTTCTCATTCTCTGCTGTATCTGTCTTTAGGGTGTGAAAGGATTAACAGGTCCCCCTGGGCTGCAAGGAACAGTGATTGTTACACTCCTCCGCCCATACAACAAATCGGTAAGGCTATAGCTTTGTGACTACAGTTGTGCCTTTGCTTCTGGAAGGACACCTTGTCTCTTTTAGAAGCTCCATTATGAGCCCTCTTCATCCCAGTTCCCCAACTCCTGGCCAGCCTGAACATCTAGGTTTAATTTCCTCCAATATCTCTCATGGTGTAGGATGGAAAAGTTAAATGGGGAAATAGAGACACAGCCTGATTCTATCCACCCTTCTTCCCTCTTCCCTCTCATTCTCCCTAACACAGTATGTGTGGCTTTGACACAATGGGACAGCAATGACCTATAGACAGGGTAGAGGCAGGCTACAATTTAACGAGACCCTGTGCATGGCCACTGCAACCCCAAGGACACATGCAGTCTTCTCCAAGTATGCTACTCCATGTCATTTTGGCAATGATTGATTTTTGTTCCTGTAGTGGGATGATTAAGAGGGCTGAGATATGGAGCTGACCTGAATGCTTAGGAAAGGAATCCACGGTGGCATAAAGTGATCCAGCCACAAGCCAGACCTTAAAGGGTAAATAAAGAACTCAGATGGTTTCGAACTAAGGCTGGTTAGGCAATGAAATAAATATAATGTAATTTGATCCAAAGGATACCTCTTTCATTTCATTGTCAGCCCAAGTTTTATTGCTAAAACATATACACACAGGTGCAGTTTCCACCTCTCACAACAGTTCCTTTTCCAAGGGCTCAAATTACTTCAAAATTCCCAAAGATGCACAGAAAAATTAAGAAGCTGCCTTTTGGAGTGCTTTACGCACTCAATGGAGTTCTTTTAACACCATCTCCTACACCAATGACGCAAGGAAAAGTACAGGAAAGATCAGGTGAACAGTAATACCTGTGCTTGATGGGCACGCAATAGACTATCAAATAGATAATTTTACTATTCCTGATCTTCGTTATATAGATGAGTGGATTTAAAGTCAGTGCCCAGACCAGTGCTGTTGTTTAAGGGTTGATAACATGCTGAGATAATACTTGTCCCATCCTTGGGGTGCTGGTGCCAGTGCCAGGGCTTAGATCCAGGGCCCAGGTGCTCTTCTGATCTAACCCTCCAGCACAAAAGCATATTTTAATTAAGGACCTAGCACATCTTCACCAAAGGTGACAGGTATTTTGAAAACCATCAATAACTATAGCTGTATTCTGACCTTAAAGTTGAGTTTAGCGGTTTGAGCTCTACTAAATACCATGTGCTATTTGGTTTTCCTGTGTCATCTATTTTAATCAACTATGGTGGATGATTAGAGACAGGGTTTTAGAAGAACTCTAATCTTACACCTTTATTGGCTAGCAAATGAAATGGTAACTGGCAAAGAATATTTCTACTCGGGATCCACAAAGGATGCTTTTTCTTTTAAAGGTTACAATTGTATTAAAGTGAGCTCATGCATAAAATGCGAAAGATGAGAAACGAGAAGAGCCACTGTGCTGTTGTCATGACGCCCAACACTGGTTTCACTTCTAGTTCCACCAGACAGATGGTATTTCCAAATGCAACTGGTCTAATCCTATTTGATTGGTTTGTGATAATGAATTGAACTGTATTTATGACAGGACTTCAAGGGGGAGAAAGGAGATAAGGGAGAGATGGGTGAACCTGGACGTCCTGGATCCCTGGTAGGTCATTTTAAGTAGTTTTGTTCCTATGACACATAAAATAGAACCTTAGTCCATACTGTTAAGATTATGTGTATTCCCCGGCAATTTTATACAGGTATACAATGTATCTTGATTACATCCACCCATGACTCCCCTCTTCCACTCCTACCACTCCTCTGGACACGCCCCCACCACCTTCTTATCAATAACCCAGAGTCCAGTTACTAAAATCTTTATCCTTATTCTAATGAATGCTCAACCTTTAAATTTCATGAACTAAAACACAGAGCCCGGGAATATTCTAGAATTGTCTTAAGGCCTTTTCTAGGTGAAATCTCTGTGTTATTTTTTTCAAATACTTTATTTTCATTTTATTTGCATATATGTCTGTGTGAGGGTGTCAGATTTTAGAGTTACAGACAGTTATTAGCTATCATGTGGGTTGCTGGGAATTGAACCCAAGCCCCTTGGAAGAGCAATTAGTGCTCTTAACCAATGAGCCATCTCCCCAGCCCCTCTGTATTATTTTATGTCTGACTTGCCAATAGCACCTGCCTTTGAATATCTATTTAAAACTGATCCTTTCTGCCGGGGCGGGGGGGTGCACGCCTTTAATCCCAGCACTCGGGAGGCAGAGGCAGGCAGATCTCTGTGAATTCGAGGCTGGGCTGGACCGACAGCCTCCAAAACAATACAGAGAAACCCTGTCTCGTAAAAACAAAAAAAAACTGATCCTTTCTTTAACATAATGTTTTTATTGATTATTTGGAAATTTCACAAAATGCACCCCAATCACATGCACTTCCCAGTCCTCTCAGGTCAGCCCTTGACCCTTATGACCTTCCCCAAAATAAAAGAAGAAGAAGAAGAAGAAGAAGAAGAAGAAGAAGAAGAAGAAGAAGAAGAAGAAGAAGAAGAAGAAAGAAGAAGAAAGAAGAAGAAGAAGAAAGAAGAAGAAAGAAGAAGAAGAAGAAACCAAGTCCAAGAACACTGGGACACAGTCCAACACCCAGCAGCCAGCCCCTTAAAGAAAACTGAGTCTTTTCCCCACCCAAACCCCTGCCAAAAGCCATCAACTGTGAATAGCTATACCTCAGCATTCCTCCCACAAATTTTAATATAAAAATAATTCTTATGATAAGATTTCTCTTTTATATTATTTAATTTTAGATATGGCCATCAGAAGGGACACATTTTTTAATCAATGAAAGTACAAAAATCAGGTAGTACATTTTTCAAAGCTTTTCATGATTTGACCATACAGGGGCCACCTGGAGACTCCTATGGATCAGAAAAGGGTGTTCCTGGAGAGCCTGGTCCAAGGGTAAGTTGGCTATTCAGCACCATGTCAGCCAAAGGAAGGCAGGACTTGGGACTCTTAGAGTTGCAAAGTGAGATGCTCCAACTAGCAATGCTTTTTGTTTTGTTTTGTTTTGAATGTTTTTAAGTTTTGGTAGGTAGGATGTACTTTTCCAAATAGCTGAAAAATTCAACCCTAAAACAAGTTCCAGGGACTTTAGAACCTGAAAGCTGGGGCAGGACTCTCCCTGCCTCACTACTCTTCTCTGGGCACAAGGTCTATCCAACAAACGAGGATCTTCTGTGAAAGGAGAAAGGAATGACAACTTCAGGCTAATGACATCTAAGAAGAAACCACACACACACACACACACACACACACACACGCACGCACGCACGCACGCACGCACGCACGCACGCACCTATCGAAAACTCCAGAGGTTCAATTGGATTGGCCTAGCTTGCTAATGTGTCTCACTCTGCAATCAGGTCCCTGATTGGCTAGGCAGTGGGCTCCTGGGAATGACAGCACATCAGAAGCAGCCGGAGTGGAGACATAACACAGCATGTAGTGTTTCTGGAAGTGTTATGCTGAGAACACAGAAGAGACTGGGGCCCCTCCCCCATTCAGCTACATTTTGGAAGATTTTAAAAAGATTATATCATGTAAAAACTCTAAAAAGCATGGATTGGGGAGAAGGAAGTGGAGTGGGGATGTTCAAGGAAAACTGATTCAAGCTTGCCTAATTTTCAATTTTATCAGAAATATTTCACCTAAGGTCATGTCTTCTCAGACACCACAATATTTAAATATTTATCCAGGATTTAAGAAATTACATTTCGAATCAATAAGTTGTAAATACTTCCTTCTCTCTAAACCCCTTGCTTACCTCTCAGCTTGGTGCTTCCCTGAGTCTCCCTCGAATATCAGGATGGGACATGAACTACACTCAAAATTTAGCCATTCTCTTCTCTCCCTCCTTTTGACTCTAATCACTGATCTTACCTGGCTTCTGCCTTCCCTGTGAGAGATGCCTATTGCCTGAAAGGTTAGGAGTCTTACGTTAAGAGATAAGTCAGTGAGGAACCTCCCTGGGGGCTTTCTTTCCTGCTGTCAAAGTGAGATTGTACCATGGATTTTTTTTCTATATTTACTAAAATCAACTGGATTAACTTATAGTAAAACTTCAGTGGTTTTGTTTTAGGGGAAACCTGGAAAAGATGGTGCTCCTGGATTCCCTGGCACTGAGGTAAAACATACCTGTTGATATCCTGGAAATAGCAGTGATTGTAGGTGAAGGATGTTGAGAGTCATCAGATGAAGGTCAACTGAGCACACTTAACACTGTTCCAGACACAGCGGGATCAATACTGCTCAGTGTTCTCAGACAGTATCTACAGCAGCTAATTTCTTAGAGTAGGAGAGTAGATACCAGGAGCTAAGAGCTGTGGTGAGTTGGAGGGACAGGGCATGGTTAGTCAGTAGGTCCAGAAGTTACATTTACTCCCAGGCTCAGTCTCACAGTAAGTTAACTATAATCAACAATGGTGCATTGTCTACTTGAAAATAGTTAGGAGTATTTTTAACACCATAACGAAATGACAGACAATTGAGGGGGTGGATGAACTAGTTCCTTGACCTGATCAATACATGAAGTACACAAATCGAGTAGATACACTGTGATTATATAGATCACAACCAATGTGATCTCGAAACATCACATTGTATACCAAATGTTTGTGCAACTATTACATATTGACTTTGAAAAAATTTTTAAATATTTTAAAATTAAATAAGTTCAGACTGTACATGTTTCATTGAGATGCAATTGACTCATGTCTTCTAATCTACTGCCCCTTTATCTTTTCTCTAGGGAGCCAAGGGCAACAGAGGCTTTCCTGGGTTAATGGGTGAATCTGGCATTAAGGTAACATCCTTTCTTCAGTCTTTTCCAACTAGTTGGGCATTACCTACCTTCCCAGGAAGAAGGAATTGCAATCTTGGGCTTTATAAAAATTCTTTAAGCAATGTTGAATTGAAGTACATGTTTTAAATCTGTCTTCCGAAGTTTCCACATATAACGGAAGCCGTTGGTATTACTTAGCATTTCATTTGCCCAGCTGAATGTGTCTCGATATTACTACTCAATCCAAAAGTTGCTTCACAGTTGTCTTTGTGAAATACATAGCAGGCTTTTGTGGACTGTCTTCCCTTCCTCTCCACCTTTGACAGTGGTTTCTTTTCCTGTGAGAATGTGTAATCCACGATCTCACTCATTGTGGTTCATAAATCCCTTCCAGTCTGTCTTTCTAGATTTCAATCTCCTTTAGATTGTTGTTATTGCTATACTACCCTTCGTCTCACTTTTATTTATTTATTGTGGGAAGGCCCATGAGGCAGAGCACCCTTGTGGAGGTCAGAGAGGACTTATTGTGAGTTGCTTCTCTCTTCTACCATGTGGGTTTGGGGAATCAACTTGGACAGTCAGGCTTGATGACAAGTGCGTTCACCCACTGAACCATCTTGCCTGTCCATATGTATTGCTTTTTTAAAAAATTACGTTTTTATTAGCGAAGTATTGAGATTAAAAGCTGTGACTTGACCATTGGCTGGGAATCTAAGAGGACCAAGGAGTGAAACATTCTCAGTCTCCAGGCATGACTTGATAAATATGTGCAGTGATAACTATGGACGCCGACCAGACATCCTGTCAATCTTGTGGAAAGACTGCTCCTCTCGGGTCTTTTCCCCTGCCTCTCCCTCTAACAGTGCTGGCTATGACAGTGCTGACTGAGCCTTTGTAGAGCAAGCTGGTTCACTCTTGTGTTAGACAGGGAGATTTCCCCATGGACTAATGTAAACTTATTTTGTTGATCATTGATAGCAGTTTGAAAAGACATGAAAGACCTTTGTGGTCTTTTTTTTTTCTTTTTTAAATCACACTTATTTGAATGCCTTAGAGTAAATAATAACAGGACCCAGGGAAAAAATTGGTGTCAAGCATACTTGCTAAAATGAAAGGACAGATAAACATCTCAAGAAGGCTCTCAAGGAAGAGATAAAACAATGTTCTGGGTGGTTGAAGTTGACACTAGCTGGCTCGGGACTCTCACTGTAGTTAAGTATCAGGTCCCTAAGAGGAGGCTATCAGAAAAGGCTGACAGCAGCAGTGATCCATCTGGTCCTCTGAGGTCATGTAGTCTGGACCCTGGGACCTCAGCCTGGGACATGTGTCCCTGAAAGGTCACAATCAGCTAACTGTGTAGAGTATTCCACACCACGTGCTTCTGAGATGCTGCCATTGTCCACAAATAGTTCACATGTACAAAGATGTATGTTCACATTCAATGTCTGCCTTTTAATAATAAGAATTTTGAATTGCCCTCTTGAAGCAAAGGAGGTCGGTACACTGACGGTTAACTACAACCTTGGCCTGGCTATACGACGACTACAGTCTGTGTGAGAATGTGGACACACAAGGCATGTGACCATTCAGAAAAGGGGACACTGGCCGGGCGGTGGTGGCGCTCGCCTTTAATCCCAGCACTCGGGAGGCAGAGACAGGCGGATCTCTGTGAGTTCGAGACCAGCCTGGTCTACAGAGCTAGTTCCAGGACAGCCTCCAAAGCCACAGAGAAACCCTGTCTTGAAAATCAAAAAAAAAAAAAAAGAAAGAAAGAAAAGGGGACACTGAGGGAAGGAGGAAAACAGACAGGCTAACATTCCCTTCTTCCCAGCCTTGCAGACAAACTCCACCTAGGCAATGCCTGGCCCGGAAAATGACTTAAAAGCAATGACCCTGTAATCTGGTTTGCACATTAAACCTAAATGACACAATCTTGACTATTAACTTATTGTCAAACCTTGCATTTTGTTTTTTTAACTATGCTTCATTGGGCTTGCATATTCATCTGTAACTGTCTTCTATACAGGGATGGAAAGGAGACATTGGCCCTCCAGGATTTCCTGGTCCAGTAAGTGTAACTAGAAATAACAACATCAAGTTCCTTCAAGTACTGAGCAAGTTTTGAATCAGCATATCTCATTCACTGTTATGATGAATATGAGAGCATTTACATTTTTATCTAGCCAAGGCAAATAACTGATGTCATTATTTACCCATGTGGCAATAGATAAATATTTTGATTTGATTATGTTTGAGTCCTAGAATGTACTAATAAAGCCCATCTTGGACTCAGAACAAGAAACAAAAAACAAAAAAACTTGGCTTCGTCACAGTTTGTCCAAGGTGACCCTGTGTTCTCAATGTGGAACAAGAAGGCTGCTGGGTACCTAGGGATGAGAGAGCCTGGTCCTTCCTTTGGCATCGACCACTTTTAACAGCAGGCAGCTGCAGCTCAGCTTCAGGCAGGTCAACAGGAATCAGTCCCTACAAAACCCAAGCTCCACCACACTGGGAGCATCACCATGCCTAACAGACATGAATTTGATGATCCTGCAGGGCTCAGGAGAAGAATGGGAGGGACTGCTGGCTCTCAGGTCTACTGATGCTTTCAAAGCAGTCAGTCTCCTAGCCAGTTTGCTGAGCAGGGTTTGTATGTCTGACTGTACAGACTGTACACATGACCCAGGATGGCAAGAGTCATGGGATGCATCTCATTAAAAACAATGTCATTCTCAAGGCTGGAGAGAGGTTAAGAGTGCCTACTGGTCTTTCAGGGGAACTGAGCTGGGCTCTTAACACCCACACTTGGTAACACATAATCACCTGTGACTCCAGCTTCAGGGGATCTGAGCCTCTAGCCACTTTGGGAATCTGTACCTATATACACATACTCCCCATCCCCACCCCCACACATGCACACACACACACACACACACACACACACACACAATAAGTGAGGTGCTGAAGAGATGGTCAGAAGTGAAGAAAAAGCAATTAACTGGTCTTTGCAAAGACAAGTGGATTGGATCCCAGCACAAACACAGTGGTTCATAACTATCTGTAACTCCAGTTCCAGGGGATCCGATGCCCTCTTCTGGTCTCTGGGTGCCAGGCACTTAAGTGGTACACACACATATATGCAGGAAAACCCTCACATACATAAAATAAGTTGTTTTTTAAAATTCAGTTCTCAGACCCCCCCACAAGCCATATAACTTACTGAATGAAGGTGGGTCCCAAAAATCTGTATCTTTCTCTTTCAGATGCAACTCACTCCCCCAAAAAAGCTTTTATGGACCTGCTAGGAAAATCATAGGCCATAGCAGAGACCAATATCCAGCAGCTGTACAGATAACATTGTGGAACTCATGACAATCACTATTATGTCATTGTTACTGATAACTTTTTAATTTACTATTCGAGACCTAAATAAAGGCTCTTGTTACTTTATTTTTCTAAGTCAATGAATACATAAATGTGCTAGTTGAGTCACATCATAAAACGTATTTCTAGGGCTAAGGGTACAGCCCTGTGGCCCAGTGCTTGCATGCACAAGGCCCTGAGTTTGATTCCCATCACAGAAAGAAAGAACAAAAAACAAAAAGACTTTTAGAAAATGTAATTAAATAAAATGTAGTTCTAGTGGAAAGCCCATGATATAAATAATGATATCAGAATGGTCATCTTTGTCATGGACATGACCACTATATTTCTGCTAATATGAAAACCTCAGAACTCAGGAAAACAAGGAAATTCCTTTTTAGGTCAAAATGAAGAGAGTGAAGTAAGCAGCAGGGTTGGCGAGCAGTCCTCCAGTAACTTCCCTGTTTATTCCTTGCCTTCTCCTTTAAGACAGTATATTATGACGTGTCGTACCTGGAAAAGGGAGATAAAGGAATGCCAGGCCCACCTGGGCCCAAAGGTGCTCGTGGCCCACAGGGTAAGGACACGTTTCTTTCCAAAGCCTTTACTATCATTGTTCTGTCTTTCTTTCAAAGTGATGAGCAGTGTTTATTTATAGAACTCTGATAGTTTCCAAGTGAGAGAGGAAGGGGAATTCCTACTTTACACAAGTGGAGGTACTTTTTGTGCTTCCAATTTTCATGTTTTACTTGAAAATTATGTAAGTAGTATACCTTACAAGTTAAATGGTTACTACAATGATATCCTCATAGAAGATTTAAACAGTGGGTAGGGAGTACCTATAACTTTGCAAGCAATTAATTGATGTAATGTATTCTCAGGTCCCAGTGGTCCCCCTGGAGTTCCTGGAAGTCCTGGTATGTTTGTTGTTTGTGTTTCTTTGAGTACACATAAAGAATGCTACTAAAATGGGAAAAACTATTGTTTTTTTCAAGTTCATATTATTTATAAAAGAAATTCCCATTTATGGATCTAAATGAGTTTCTAGCTTCTTAACAGTTATATTTGTGGCCTATGTTGGAAAAGTGGCAGACACTGAAACAAACAGATAAAGCAACTCTCAAGGATTTTAAGTGTAAGCATATGACTTTGGGGTATGAGCAGGAGCCCTGATTTTCAGAGGTGGCACAAAGGTAGAAAAACATTGACGTCACAGCAAGAAGGTTGGTTGAAAATAGCTGTTTGTGTTAAATAATACAAGGCCTACAGGGATACTTACATTGTTTTTTATCTACATATTTTATTTCTTAATGAAAATTCACCGAAGTAACAGGAAAAAATCAAGATCATTTTGTTCTAAGGAGATGATAATAAAACTAATACAGAAAGCAAAGCTGAGGCAGAGAAACACAGGGAGTAATAGCAACCCCGGATGCTGATTGGCTCGGGCTACAAACATCTCTCTTCTAACATGCACTGTGTTACCTAGGACCATCACTTGCAGGCACTGTACAGCACTGCCCCCCCCCCGACAATATACCTGGCAGCCCCAGATTCCCCCTGTGCATCAAGGTGCATGAACACTCCTTGCCTCTGACAAACCGGATACCTACATTGTAATGAAACTTTTTCTGTAAAATTGTTTATGGTTTTTTGCTGGGTTTTTTGCTTGCTTGTTTTTTGATGTTGTTGTTGTTTAGCTTTTTTGTTTGTTTGATTCTTTGCTTTGATTTTTGTTTTTCAAGAGTTTCCCTGTGTAGCCCTGGCTATCCAGGAACTCTCTTTGTAAACCAGGCTAGCCTCAAACTCACAGAGATCCGCCTGCCTCTGCCTTCTGAGTGTGAGGAAAGGCATGCACCATGTCTGACACTTTTTCTCTAAAGTTTTATACTTTCATCTCTGTATCACTTGAACATTTACCCTCCAAGAGATAAAGACTAGCATCAGAGATGTGTCCACAAAAACCCATCAATGGTGACTGCACCATGTTCTTTTTAAAGGAGGCAAATTAACAGATATAGAAAATGACAAATGTTGTATGTGCCTGTATATACCTGCTACACACACACATGTATATATACTTATATATGCATGTTACTGGTGGGTCTCTCCTGAAGCTAAAATGTATATAGGTTTATGTATAGATGTTAGCAGTGAGCAGCTCCTGAAGCTAGAATGTGTATAGACTTATGTATGCATGTTAGCTGTGGGTAGCTCCTGAAGCTAGAATGAGCAGCATCCTCATAAAGACTCAAGAAGACTTCCTTCCCCATCCCAAGCCCCTAAGGCAACCACTGTCTCCTTTATGAAGGCAGTGAACAGAAAACTACAAGATTTTGAAGTAGATAATGATCAGAAGGATTTGGTTTTAGGCTCAATTAACAACAAGCTGGTTTCTTAGCCCTTTGGTGGCGATATCACTCCTCCTAATAGTTCAATTGTTTAAGAGGCAGAACACAACATGCTGACTTAGAGTTGGGTCTATACCATCTAGCCTAGTGTCTCTATGCAGATATGCCTGCCCTTTCCCCACCTTTATATGGTGGAAATACATTTTAATTACAACTTGTTCTTTCTCATTTCGGGGTGCCAAAATTAAGCATCCTCTAGTCTCTAATTTTAAAAAATCTATAAAATAACACACGTGCAAGAACTCCTCACAAGCAATTATACATGAAGTCTACAGCACAGCCCAGACCCTGTTTCTGCTCCTTGTAATAAACTACACAAGTCATCTTGTTGAAATGGGATGTTTTGCACAGCGTCTTAATATGATGTGATCTAACAAAGCCACCAAGGAAGGAAGGATAGTCACCTTTTATTTTATAGGCTTTATGTGGCTATCAACGGTATAATTCTTATAAATAAGAATGTATCTTTCTGTTTTCAACTGAAATATAAACATATTCATCAGAAAAAAATTGTAACAATATAAATGTTTCTTTCTTCCAAGGACCATCAAGGCCTGGCCTCAGAGGACCCCCTGGATGGCCAGGCTTGAAAGGAAGCAAAGGCGAGAGAGGACCCTCTGGAAAAGACACTGTGGGTCCTCCAGGACCCCTGGGCTGCCCTGGTTCACCAGGTCTGCCAGGTCCACCAGGACCTCCAGGACCTCCAGGTAAATATAGAAAATGGACTATTTAGGAGTCACTTGTCCTATGGCAGATAGGTGACACAGAACTTCCTAAGAACAACCACTTAAACCCATCTAAATGCAGACACAGTACATGTGCCTGTGTATAAACCTAGAAAGTATAAGTAAAACAATATATCTTTGGAAGAATTGGTCAGCATGCATCTTCTCAGTTGTAGATAAACTTCCAAAGGTTCAGCTTCCACCAGAAGAATGGAGGAAATGCATGTAAAATCATATGAGTATTTAAAATTTGCTTTTTGGAAGAACTCAAATAAAAATCAACTCTGTGTGTGTGTGTGTGTGTGTGTGTGTGTGTGTGTGTGTGTGTGTGTGTGTGTGTCTGGCGGTGTTGTTGTTGTTTTGTGTTGTGTCAGTGTTGATCATTGAACCAAGGGCCCCATGCATCTCTTGCTTGTCAGACAAGCACTCTAACCACTGATATACCCAGACAAAAAAACTGATCTCTGATGGTGTCTTTTCCTAGGTGGCACAGTTTTCCACCCAGGTCCACCTGGTGACCATGGAGTGCCAGGCAATATAGGACCCCCAGGAGACCCAGGAATTGATGGGCCCAAAGGTTTGTTCAAACCCAGTGTTATTCTATTTAAAAAGCCCACTTCCATCACCGCTTCACCAATCCAAGCAGCAGTGATCTCAACTAGTCAGAGAATGACTTCTTTTCCACTTGTCTGTAAATTGGTAACCCATTTAGCTTGCAATGAATTGCTGGCTAACCCTAAGTGAGAGTCTAGCCTAACAGCACAGGGAGAAACTGAAACAGAAGATGCTTTGGGTAGATTCTTCGGCTTTCCTCTCTCAATGAGTCATAGCTCAGAGAGTATATAAGGAAATGTAAATTAATACTGTGATTAGTTTCACAACATTAAAAACATATTGAAATAAATGGGGGTCCTTTCTGACCAGTTTGTGTGGCTTGGAAACTGATGCATGCACTGTCCCAATGCAGGAGAACCAGGCCTTCCGTGTACACAGTGCCCTTGCATCCCAGGGCCTCCTGGTCCCCCTGGGTTTCCAGGATTAGACGGTGACAAAGGAATTCCAGGTATTGAACAATTTGCCTGAAATTTTGTAACTTTGTAGGGACAGGAAAGTAAACAGACTGGGACATTGGGAAGGGTGTTAGGTTGCCTGGCTATCATAATGAACTTAAAGAAAGAGTTCTAAAGACAACTATGTTACCATGAAGTCAGTCAAAATCTCATAAGCCTAGCATGTTTTTCCCAGTTCCATTTGGGTAGCTGATTTCTAGTGAAGGCTCTTCTCACCTGGGAATTGTAAAGAGTGTCCCGCAGGGGACCCACAGATAAAGCAAGCGAACTACCTTGCCAAACACGCAGCCCTCCTCAGTCCCACCTTTGAGAGAGTCCAGGATATATTCGGGATTTATTTTTCTTGTAAGCACATGAGTGCAATTAAACATTAGCAGCCATGCTCACAGCCCTGGGGGTGATAGTAGTAAGAAGCCCTGAATGGCACATTCAAGAGGCCTGTCAGTCACTCGGCTCTAGCCTATTATACTCCAGCATTAAAACAAAGTATAGCCTAGACAGATAATAGTCAAAAAGGTTTTGAAATGGGTCTATATATCTACACTTATTGGCATGTACAGTATATGATTCTAAAATAGCACTTATGAATCTATGGTTATAAAAATTTATAACATATACTAAAATTGAGCAAATGTTAACTTTCTGGTGGTAGATTCACAATTTTTCTACTGCATACTTTTCTTCAATGAGCATGTATTATCTTTATTACAAGAAAAATAAATATATATGTCCTTAAAATTACAAGGTTGTCAGGGCCAGGAAGCTGGGATCTAAGTGCTCCTGTGGTTGACAACTTTTGACTGCGTGGCTGGTTCAGAGTGAAAATTCTCTTTCTGTCCTCATAAGGAAATGTTGTGTTTTCTCCATACACGGCTCTGCTCAACAGATCATAATACATTGCTTTGCAGGAGCACGAGGCACACCTGGTATGAAAGGAAACCCGGGGTCCCCCGGAAGTGCAGGTCTCCCAGGATTTGCAGTAAGATTTCATGGTTATAAACTCTAGCTTCAGCTTGGAAAGCCCAGTCCTCTGGAAACATGACTGCACCTCACTTGGGTCAGCAGTCGATGTCAGAGTGTAGGTTTTTAACTGAGAGAACTGAAGTGCTTCACGGGTACTTGTTGAATAAATGAGCAAATCAGTGAATTTATTTATCCACATGTCATTTTTAGTGGTAGCAGAAACAGAAATTAGGTCATTGCCTGGGGCTGAGTGTGGAAACAGGCATTGGTGATGAATTTGAGGGTATTTGGGGGAGCAATGAAGATGTTTTAATGCTGACTATGGTTAATATCACTGAATTTTACTGATAATTATATGTATACATATCTATTTACATATATACACATGTAAAGGATCAATTTTATGCTATGTAGTTTATACCTCAATATATCTTTATATACCTTTTTATCTCAATATAGCTGTTAAAATGACTGATCATGTGTCATTATACTATGCCATACGTAACCCTGTAATTAATTCTATTCATTATAATGAATTAGAAAGTTATATTTGATAAGTAAGAAACACATGTTAAAAATTATTAACACTGAAACAGTCTGAATTATGATGATGGTATGCCATGTAGAATTTCTACTATGTCAATGAAGTAATTATTGTTTGTATCATATTGACTTATACTGTCTAGGTAGTTTTTTTTCAGTTTGGGAAGTTAAAAAAATACAAAGTAAATAAATGACATGATATTTGTAACACACAAAAAATTCATGTTAACAGTTAAGATGGTGGATTATACCTGTAATCCTAACACTGGATACTGAGACAGGATTTCTGTGACTTCAGCCTGGTTCACAGTTTGAGTCTCTGTCTTGAAAAGCAACGCTCCCCCTCCACCAACAGTAATGTATGCTAAATGACATCCATGTTCTAGTATTTACCCCTAGAGCAGAAGAGAGACACCGAGACTAAGGAGGGCACTGGGCTGTCTACTTTTCAGAGAGCGGTGTCATGGGTCATTGTGTTACAATAACTAATCAATCTCTAACATATGTATTTAATAGTATGTGTATATTGGGTGTTTATATAAACACACAACTACATATGTTTGTCAACATGTAAATATTAAATGTGTTTTAGGGGAAACCCATGTTTATTAAAATTCAAAAGTTCTTATTGCTAATGTTTTTAAGACTGACCAAGGACAGCTCTACCAAAACAGAAAGCCACTCACTTTTGTATCGCCATAGGGATTCCCAGGGGACCAAGGACACCCAGGACCAAAAGGAAGCAAAGGTGAAACACCTCTACCCTGGGGGCAAGAGGGTGACCCAGGTGATCCTGGGCTCAGAGGCCTGCCAGGGAGAAAGGGCTTCGATGGAATTTCTGGAAGTCCAGGAGCAAAAGGACTGCCAGGACCTAGAGGTGAACCGGTTCGTATTTAGGATTTTTTTTTAACATTTTCACTCTGTAGCAAAATGCTCACAAACTGGGAGATAATGTGATCACCAAAAATACATAGTTCTTCACCCTAGCCACAAAACAAGCATCAAAATAGCAGTAGTAATCCAAGCAAATATTCATAGCATTTTGACAAAATAAATAAGCTCTTTTCAGTGGCTCAGTCCAACTGAAGCTCTACACTGATAGCGACTCTGGTTCACACCTGTATCTCAATACATGGATCTAATTCAATGTAGAAAAGCGCCAACACATAGGTAGAAGACATGGCTCACTTGGCAGAGCTCTTCCTAGCACAGAGGAAACTCTGGATTTGATCCTCAACACGGGATAAACGAGGTGTGGCTGCACATATCTGCAGTCCAAGCTGGAGGAAGTCAGAGCAGAAGCTCAAGGTCATTCTTAGCTACATAGAAAGTTCTAGGTTATTATGGGATGTGAGATCCATCCTCAAAAAATAAAAACTAAAAATAAGGAGAGGGGCAGGGCTGTAAAGAAGAAGGGAAAAGGAAACAAGACAAAATTGCTAGCAAGGGAAATTTTTAGTAAACATCCTGGGGTCGTTCTCATTCTTCTAAGCAAATGCATGAAAGATACAATATTGGCTGGGTGGTGGCGCATGCCTTTAATCCCAGCACTCGGGAGGCAGAAGGAAGTGGATTTCTGTGAGTTCGAGGCCAGCCTGGTCTACAAAGTGAGTTCCAGGACAGTCAGGGCTGTTAGTCAGAGAAACCCTGTCTCCAAAAAATAAAAACAATAAAAAACAGGATACACTATTTAGGGATATATTAGTCAAATGAAGAGATAAAATGTTTAAAACATTTCTGTTAATATAAATATTATTTTCATGGTATAGAATTTTTCACACATTCAACTGAATGTGTCACAGAGTGACATGCCACAGGTCTGCCACGATATACCTGTGAGAAATTTGCCCAAATTAATCTACAAAATGCCAGCTTTTCCACTTTTCCAAAGGGTTAATCAGATTTATCCAATAAAAAGGTTCTTATGTGGGACAGTTTGAGGAAACTTGATAAGAAAGTTTGAAGATTCTCTCTCTCTCTCTCTCTCTCTCTCTCTCTCTCTCTCTCTCTCTCTCTCTCTCCTCCACCTCCTCCTCTCCTCTCCTCTCTCTCTCTCTCGTCTCCTCTCTCTCTCTCTCCTCTCCTCTCTCTCTCTCTCCCTTTCTCCCTTTCTCCCTTCCCTCTCTCTCTCTCTCTCTCTCTCTCTCTCTCTCTCTCTCTCTCTCTCTCTCTCTCTCTCTCTCTCTCTCTCTCTCTCTCTGTGTGTATGTGTATTTGTCTGTCTCTCTGTCTCTCACAAACACACACGCCATTCATTAACAGATTCTCTAACAAGGTGAATCTGACTCCCCCCAAATGTAGATATGGTAGGCAGTTTTTCCTGGTGCATCTACAGGCCCAGGGAATCTCAGAAAGCCTCACTAGTCCCCCTATTTGGGCTAATACCAATCTGTGGTAAGGAGATACTGAACTGAGACACTACCAAACGTGTTCCTGTTGTCACAGGCCCTAAGTGGAAGGAAAGGGGACCAGGGACCTCCAGGGGCTCCTGGAATACCTGGGCCTCCAGGACCTGCAGGACCAGCTGGACCACCAGGCTATGGATCTCAAGGAGAAACAGGTCCAAAGGGAATGCAAGGAGTTCCTGGATCCCCGGGACCACCTGGAGAAGCCGGTTGGTTAGTTTTTTTCAAGTCTTGCTTTTCTGTGAAGTGGGGATGGTCCCACAGCTAGCAAAACTCCTTCAGAATAATGAATATAAACATAAATTTGTTCCTGACAACTATGTCTCCTCAGATATTGGGAAGAGCCAAGTAAAGACATGACAGAGAAAATCCATGTCCTCTGTCACAGGCAGTTCGTCTGAAACTTCCTGTAATCATCGGTATCTAAGGGTTGAGTAGAACTCAATTACAAGGCACTTGGGGGAGGCAAAAAGCAAAAAATAAATCACTAAATAAATAAAATTAAATTAAAATAAATTGACCTGAATAAAGTGTCTTCCCTTGGATCTGTGACTCCAGGTTACAAACAAAACTTCAAAATAGCTAAGATAGCTGAAAAATCATTGATAATAGTTTTAAAGCCCATGTGTTGCTTGGACCTATAGGTGCTGAAAATAATTCTCTGTCCAGGAGAAACAGGTCCGTATCATGGGAAGTTTTCAACAAGGAATGCCTGCATCACTTTTATGATCACTTTAGACAATGGTTGCTAGGATACCCATGCTGTCAGAATCATCATAATATATTCTCTATACTGAGATTTGGGTACCATGGTGTTCATATATGTCATTAAGTGAATACATATTTTTATCCACATGTGTGTAAAGCTTGTTTTATGGGTTTGGGGGGGTTTGTTGTTGTTGTTTTATTTTTAACTTTGGAGGCTGTTGTCCTCACCCAGGGATATGCACACTGTATGAAAAGTTCAAACCTACCCCATTAGTGGATTTTTGTGGCCCAAAAGTTAAGAATGGTTCCTACATCTTTTTTAATAATTGAAGAAAATTTTAACAACATTCTGTTACACAAAAAAAATTTATCAAATCCAAATTACAGTGTCTGTACATGATATTATTGGAATTTAGCCATACTTCTGTGTTCTCTATGGCTACTGCACAATTTGTAGTTGTAACAAATCAGAACTACAAAACCTAAATAATTTTCTGTCTGAAACTTTATGTAGTTTATTGGCTCTTGTTTAATCTTTCATCCAACCCTCTTCTGTTCTTTCTAAATATGAATATCATAAATTGAGGAGCTCATTATCATAAAGTACATTATCAAATGTTCCCCTCATGTACTGGAACCATACATTTTTCATTATTATTCATGTACAGCTGTGAGAAGACTAATCACAAGCATGGTTTAATATTGGCCACTATGTTCAGAACATTGCCTTGAATTTATCTGCTAGGTAACCATTATTTCCACAGTGACAGATAGGAAACCTCTCAAAATGGTTAAGAAAAGTGTCCAAGCTCATGGAGCTTGCAAACATTGTGACAAGCTTCAAACTTGCTGTTTTGTTCAATATATCACATTAGCTTTCCATGAATACCAGCCATCCAATAAACTGGTACCCTACCACTATTCTCCAGCTTCATTCTTAGTATCAATTTCTTGAACAAGCAAGCTTTCAAGCCTGCTTGGCTATTTTAAGATAATAATAATTTTTATTTTGTTTGCATTGGTGGTTTGCCTGCATGCATGTCTATATGAGAGTGTCAGACCTTGGAGTGACCGACTGTTCTTCCAAGAACAGTCATTGCTCTTAACCTATCTCTCCACCCCCTCCCCAATTGCTGGATTATTAAGTAAAGCAAGGCTTAGGCAGATGCCAATAAATATTTGCAGATCAATTAGAAAAGTTTCTGAATACTGGTTACCCCTAAACTACTTCTAAGACCCTTTAAAAACAGAGATTGGTTTTATTTTCCTTGGGATGTGTTTATGATTCCCTTAAAATAGTTCCCACTGTTCTAAAAACATACTTTAATATGCAACAATTTTGTTACAATCATGGTTTTTTTCTTAAGGTCTTAAAGGAGAACCTGGCACATCAATACCAGTTCCAGGTCCCCCAGGACCTCCAGGGCCCCCTGGTCAGGCTGGCCACCGTGGTCTACCTGGTGAGTACCCCACATACCAAATACCGTCCAAGTCATCAGCTGGTGCTCTCACTTTCCTGAGAAAATACTACTCCTTTAGAAGGAAAAATTACATTTTTTGGGTCTGAAAGAGAGCAAAAGTGGAAGCCATTCTGAAAAGCAAGCTGGCAGGAGGCTTTCTGTTGTCCTTTGAGGTTACCTACACGCTCCCCTGGAGCCCCCAATGCTACACTTCCAAAAGAGAAGGGATACAGTTGCCTATAGAGGTTAGGAGAAGAATGATCCCTATGACTTCTGGTGGAAGAGCAAGCAACACCTGTGGATCATGGTGTTTCCTACAGCAGCCTCAGTTTGAAACTTGATTTCTTTGCTAAAGTGGTTGGAAATTTAATTTTGATTTTCAGAGGAAGACATATAGGTCAAGACATGAAGACATATAGGTCAAGATATTTAGGATTTTCTTAAAGAATGGCGGGAGTGGTGTGTGTGTGTGTGTGTGTGTGTGTGTGTGTGTGTGTGTGTGTGTGTTGTTATTGTTTTGAGACAGATTTCTCTGTGTAAGCACCCTAGTCGTCCTGGTACTTGCTTTGTAAGCCAGACTGGCATGAACTCACAGATAGTCTGCCTCTGTCTCCAGAGTGCTGGGATTAAATGTCTTCCCACCACTGCCTGGCTAAATTACATTTTTAAAATTTGTAGCAGCTCCTGACCTCTAGTCCACTGAATGGGAGTGGGAAGAACCACTGAGATTACGTTAAAAATTATTTTACAATTTCCAGAAAGTGCTGAGAGGACACAGAGAACACAGACATTTCTTTTGGGAAACAAATGAAGGGAAGTCACTGGTGTACATGTATGTGTTTTTAAGGTTTGCCTGGACCTGTGGGAAAATGTGATCCTGGTCTTCCCGGACCTGATGGAGATCCAGGACTCCCAGGAGTTGGATTCCCTGGGCCTCCAGGACCTAAGGGTAAATTAAAACTGTAGAATATAAGGTTCACTGTGGAGATTTTGAAGCTATAACCATGGATACTGAATAAAATAGGAAATAGCTATGATGTGTTGTCCAAATGAAGCTTTCCAAGACTCTTCAGAAGTCTTAGGACAATGTTTGGTGAAAAGAGAATTCACATGGATTCATGCAATATCATCTCAACCATACTTTTTTCCTTTGTCGCTTTTAACTTATTTTGTGCACCGTCAAGAATAGGAAGTACATGTGGAAGTCAGAGGACAATTGCCAGACTCCATTTTCTCTGTCTTCCATGTGGGTCCCAGGACTTGAACTCAGGTCATCAGTCTTGACAGCAGGAAACTTTATATACTAAGCCAATACACAGGCCCACCAATCATACTTTTTTAAAAGCACAGACAAAACAAACAAACAAAAACTCTGGAAGGTAATTTACCAAAACGGTAACAGTAATTCTTTCTGGCTATAAGAATTTTTATTTAATTCTGCCCTTCTTAGATTAATATATTTCTTGACTTCACACATTTTTAAATAAGAAATGAACTATTATAATAACAAAATGAGCTGGGGCTATAGTACGGCAGTGAGTGTGTGATTAGCATGGATGAGGCGCTGGATTCTTTGCATAGCATCAAACAAAACAAAACCCTAGGCTTCCCTGTGAGCATGAAAGTAATTAGAGTAGCTATTTTGCTTTAAGAAAGGATGAGAGGGGTTGGAGAGATGGCTGAACAGGTAAGAGCATATATTGCTCTTACAGAAGACTGGAGTTTGATACCCAGAACCTGTGTCAAACATCTCTCTCACGCATCTCACACGTGCCTGTAACTCTAGCTCCAGGGGGAACCTGGTGCCTCTGGTGTCTGTGTGTGTCAGCACTCATATTCACATGCCCACATACATATACATAATTTTAAGATGGTAAAATATGTCTTTTTGACAAGAAAAAAGAGAGATTCTGCTTTCATCAAAACAGAAACACCCCCAAAACTCCAGCTGCTTATATTGAATAATAATTTGAGCTGCTCCTCTGATAAGCACATCAAGTAAAATCATGGCCAGGATCCATAAAACAAAACAAATAAAAAACCGTCAGGCTGTGGACTATTATGCTTTTCACAACTGCCTAAATTGATTGTTAAAAATACAATCGTTTTGATATTTTACCTCTTGTTAATAAGTCACTGTTAATTATTGCACATAGAGCTATCCAAGTAAGGGAATAGTTAGTAAATGAAGATACAATCCCACAGCAGTTTTGACTCCAATTTCATGGGCTTCTTCCTTGATGAATTAATGTAGCCTAGCCCATATTTGCCTAGTCCTTCCTGAACCCTCCACTAATAATTTACATGCTAATTTTGCAACTCTGGATTCATTCTCTGGATAGATGTAGCAAACTATGGGAAGCAGAACTATCCTAAGAGTTAGAGGACCTGGGAGTTGTCCTGTAGTTGGGCCAGGGCTCCATAATCTGCATTTTGATTAGTTGAGCTTTGAGTCTTTTTTTTATTGAAACAATTTTCATAGTCAATGCAGTTTTACTTGGAACTCAGTTTTTTGTTTTTATTTTTGAACTTCCAATTTATCAATTGGTTTTATCAACATCCAAACGTTCATACAAGCATCTTTCTATCTGGGTACCTCATAAATGTATTTGATAAAGGAAATATTGCTCATAAAGTGTCTATGAGACTAATCTCTAATGTTTATTGCTTTTGTTTTGTGCTTTCTATAGGAGACCAAGGTTTCTCAGGAACAAAAGGGTCACCTGGTTGTCCTGGGGAAATTGGAAAGCCAGGCCATCCTGGAGAGCCAGGCCACCCAGGAGCCAAGGTCTGCAACCACAAAAACACAGGCTGATTTCAGGGAGGGGCAATCATAATCAGCAGTTGTAATGTCCTTATCAGACAAGACACTTGGGGTTTAGAAATTTTCAGCATATTTATAGATAAAGATATGGATTTTTCAGGACATTTATAGATATTAATTTTTACGTTGCTGTGGATACTTGCATTTCTATTACTTTATTAATGACCTCATAGACATTCAGCATGTATAGGGGCACTCATGCTCACTTCAATGAGTATAGACTACATATCCTGAAGCAGCATTTTTGTGGCAAGGTCATTGTCTAAAGTTGAATGGGAAGTATTTGTTGAACTGTGGTGTCTATGCAAACAAATTCTGAGCATCCCTAGCAAGAAGAACTGAGAAGCCCTGCATTGGAGACACTAACCTAATGTCTCTGCTACAGGGAGAACCAGGACTAGGCACACCTGGGGAACCAGGAAAACCCGGCTTTCCAGGAGAAAGAGGCAATTCTGGGGAAAATGGAGAAATTGGACTCCCTGGGCTTCCAGGTCTCCCTGGATCTCCAGGAAAAGATGGGCTTGATGGGCCTCCAGGTACAACACCAAGTGGTTTTACCTTTCTCTTCAGTGAGATCTAGTGTAGGTGCCCTATGGGGCTCTAAGCACTTCCATCTTGGTGAATAAATCAGAAAAAAAGGCTTAGCTCTTTTTCCATTCAATGTGGCTGTTCTATGTTCCTCCCCTCCTTACTTCTTTCTTCTTACATGAGTGTCCTCTATATGGGCATGTTGATAGTATTAAATATAGGTGTGCTTTGGGAAGGGGAATTTACAGAAAGATGAGGAGACAGCAACACTGGAACCTTGTGCTTCCATACCTGATCAAACACCTGGACTGTCTTTTGCAGGAGATCCAGGAGAGTCTGGACCACCTGGAGCAAAAGGGCCCCCAGGGAGTTGCACACAAGGACCCAGGGGTGCCCAAGGACTTCCAGGATTAAATGGATTGAAAGGACAACCAGGTAGGAGGAAGGCCTCCCATTCAGGAACTAGGGAGGCAGGTGATGTGGCCTCAAGTTCTGTACTGTGCTGTTTAATATGGAAACTGTCCAGCAACAAGTCCTGACTGCTGCTCAGTAAGACGTGTTCCTTTGGAAATGTAATCCTGGCTTTTATGTATATTTCCAATAGCAGTCTCAACTTGACATAGTGAGTTGATTTGTTTCTTTTATATGAGGAAATATTAACTTCATTAACAGATTAGAAGATAAAGATAGACTGGAAAGTAAATGAGTCATTAATATATATATATATTTATATACATAAACTTTCAATCAACATTTTACTTTTAAGACTTCCAAAAAGAAAACAGTAACTTTGTGATGATTAAAACAGAGAAAATGTGCACAAAGCTACCTGTTTAGCTGTAAACTAAAATATGTATTTCATTATGTCATAAGCAACATGAAACCAATATTTATGAAAATAAACCCAAGTGAGTAAGGCCACATGACCCAGTTACTGTGAAACATATTCTACCTACTTGGACCCTTTCAACCAAATCTGGTGATGGTTTCTAGAAAAAGTTCTTTAGAACTCCATTTAGTGTCTCTAGACTAGCATTCTGCTTATCTGTTGCAGGTAAATTCTTGGCCAACACCTTAATAATTATAGTGCCACTACTGTTTGCAGAAGCGTGTGGGAGTTCACTTCTTGGGAGCTGCTATGTAGGTCTAAGTTGAAAGACTAGGAAAGGACATAAAGCACTCAGAAACAGACATATGTGCTCTGCCTTCACCACTGCATGACCCCGGAAATGGATGACATGAGAGCAATGGGGACTGAGAAATATTAGGGAAGGACAATCAACAAACACACTGATAAGTGTGCTGTTTACCCAGCATCACGTAGCTGAACAATCAACGCTGAAATAATTTCGAGTAGGTAGGGAAAGCAACTGCTAAGTCACACGGTCCTCTATTCATCTATTCAACTGCAGGTCAAAGAGGTGATGTGGGGCCAAAGGGAGACCCTGGCATCCCAGGCTTGGACAGGTCAGGAGTTCCTGGAGAACCTGGACCACCAGGAATTCCAGGTCCCCCAGGTGAGATGGGACCACCTGGCCAAAAAGGATATCCGGGAATTTCAGGATCCCCAGGGCCACCAGGTATCTATCCTTTGTGCCATTGCCATGTTTCCCTTCATGTGACTCTGCACACTGTAGGCTTTTTTTTCTGCTAGTATATTTTTTTTATCCTAAATCACTTTAAGAAGGAAGGATCAAGGGGCGGCAGAATGGGAGAAGAGAACCATTACATTTTCTAATTACCCAAGATATGGTTATTTTTGCTGTGGAATAATTTTGCACATTATATCAACTAGTATTTGGTCAGTTTTCTTGTGACGGCTCAATCCTGTTTGAGGGAATGCTGGCCTTGTAGAGAGCAGACTGGAATGAGTACTCCTGTAGTGTTTCCTCAAAGAGCTTATGAAGAACTGCCATTCCTTGACCACTTGATAGAGCTCACTAGCAAAGTCACCTGGGTCTGGACTCTTTTTTGTGGAAAGTCTTGAAATTATCAGTTTGTGACCTAGAGAGATAGCTCTGCAGTTAAGACCACTTCATGTTTTGCCATGTGACCACATCAGGTGGCTCACGACCAGCTGTCACTCCAGCCCCAGGGGATCTGCCATTCTCTAACCACTTTAGGCACCCATACACATAACTATCAGTTCAATGTATATTTATAATGATTAGAAACAGTTCTAGTTGCTTTTCTATTACATTGTGAGTCCATTTTGGTTCTGTGTTGCTCTAGAAATTTACACATTGTATCTAAGTCATCTACAGTGTGGTCACAGAACTGTTCATAATATTATGTCTTCTTAATTCTTTTTAATCTGTGGTTGTTTTACCATTCCTTCATTTGTAAAGAACATTCTGTTCCCTCATGTCATAAGGACATCACTGCCCTCCCCTCCAGGGAGGTAACCAGGATAATGGCTTAACTGACACATTATGCTTTGGCTCCTATTATTGAGCTTCTCTCAGGTTCTGGCTCTATTCTTGGCACTAGATTCACATCGCCCATAATAGGAGAGCAATAAAAACTACATTTGAAAACCAACTTTAAGATGACTAAGGATGAGCAATGTATAATGGCATACATAAATGAAAATGTCAGAATGTCGGAATTAAACCTTATCACTTAGTATGTTACTTTAAATAAATGAAGAAAAAACTAATTTCAGTAAATACTATGAAAGAATAAAATGAAAGGTACACTGGGAAGAAGGTAAGATGGCAAATGAACCAGGAGTTCGGGGCACTCTGCTGTCAACCATGGTGTGATTTGCTGTAATGACACACGCACAGGCTGATGAGCATTTAAAAGACACTGACCCATCTCTTACACAAACTTGGTTACAGGTTGATGAACATTTAAAAGACACTGACCCATCTCTTACTTGGTTATCTTCCAACTTACAAAAACCATCCAGTCCCAATTTCTCTTTCTAAATTATTTTATTTTCTGTAATATATTGCTTTTCTTTTTTTTATTTTTTGGTTTTTCGAGACAGGGTTTCTCTGTGGCTTTGGAAGCTGTCCTGGAACTAGCTCTTGTAGACCAGGCTGGCCTTGAACTCACAGAGATCAGCCTGCCTCTGCCTCCCAAGTGCTGGGATTAAAGGTGTGCGCCACCAACGCCCAGCAATATATTGCTTTTCATATTCACTGAGTGCTTTGTGTTAATTTTCCCTAGGCAAGAAAGGAGAGGTTGGGATGATGGGCTATCCTGGAACCACTGGTCCTCCAGGGTCTCCTGGGAAACCAGGGTCACAGGGGCAGAGAGGTGAGTGATGTCTTTCTCAGTGGCATGAGGTATGGGTAGTGTTCACTTACTTAGTCTCAAAATAAATGACATTTGTTTTTTAAAAAGAATAGTTGTGATTGAAGAATATATTTGATTTTTTTCTGTGTTCTGTATTCTCTTCTCTCATTGGAATGGATCTGATTTTCACCCTGCAAATTTCTACTGTCTTTATTAAGCAGCTGTGTCTGCATTTGGAAACACAATCAAGTCCTCGGCACTGTTCACACTTTTGCTCTGTTTTATTAAGCATTCTCCTAAACGTTAGTTTCTTTTTTTAATTTTTAATTTAAATTAGAAACAATCTTGTTTTACATATCAATCCCAGTTCCCTCTCCTTCCCATCTTCCCCTGCCCTGCACCAATCCCCACATCCCATCCCCTTTCTGCTCCCCAGGGAGGGTGAGACCTTCCATGGGGGATCATCAAAGTCTATCACATCATTTGCCGCAGGGCCTAGGCCCTCCCCCGTATGTCTAGGCTGATAGAGTATCCCTCTATGGGGAATGGGCTCTCAAAGTCCATTCGTACTCTAGGGATAAATACTGTTCCACTACCAGAGGCCCCACAGACTGCCCAGGCTCCTAACTGACACCTACATTTAGGGGGCCTGGCATAGGACCACACTAAACATTGGTTTCTAATGCACTACTTATGAGCAAAGGTTACTCTTGTCTGTCAGGCAGCCTTGGAATCCCAGGAGTAAAGGGGAAAAGAGGACGCCCGGGAACCAAAGGTGAAAGAGGAGAGAAGGGAATTGCTGGGCCTTCCCAAATTCCACACTTAAAGGGGGACAAAGGAGAACCTGGGCTCAAAGGTAAGGAACTTTCTGTGTTTAGAGTTGGCTGATTCTGGGACTAAGAAACCACCTGAGCAAACCCCTTTAGTTGACAAGTGAGGACTGTGTTGAGTCACCTGCTCAGTCGCACAGCCATTTGGAAGCTGATATGAACAATACTATGTTGCTCATTGAACGAATTCATTGTTATTACTAAATTAGTTTTACATTCTGGTCTACTGTATTCAAATGCATACTAGTTGATTTTTTTTAAATCATAAGCATCTAAGACCAGATTTTTGACATCTATTTCTCTGTTTACTGCACCCCTACTCATAATACCACAATTGCTTACCCAGAGTCACTGTAGCAAAAAGCAGCTGGTTCCAGTGGTCACATCTGTCTGTTTAGTATGCTACCATGTGTCTGGACCATGAATACTGTAAAGATAAGGGAAGCAGAAAACTCAGCAAATGTAATAATCAGAGGCACCTCCATGAATAAGGCTTTGTTAGTGGAATCGAGACAAGCAAGTAACCATTGGCTCCAAGGTTTTCTGAGGCTCCCACTCCCAGCTGAAGACCTCCTGGCAGTTGGTGGTCACTGGAGGAGGGAGAGTGTTCTAGTTTGCTCTGACCAAAGGCAACCTGGGGAGGAAAGGGCTTATTTTGCTTACACTTCCAGGTCACAATCCAACATCGAGGGAAGTTAGGGCAGGAACTCAAGAAGAAACTGAATCAGAAACCATGGAGAAATGATGGTTACTGGCTCCTCTCTGGCTTGTTCAGTTGTTTTTCTTATGTAACCTTGGCTGGCATGTCTAGGGATGGTTACCCTCAATAGGCTGGGCCCTCCCACCTCAACCACAATCTCTGACAACCATGGCCACAGACTGATAAGGGCATTTCTTCAGTTGAGGTCCCCTTACCCGGTGATTCTAGGTTGTATCAAATTGACAGTACAAAGACAGAGGGGCAGTTGTTACTTTGTTTGTTTGTTTTTCAATGGTATGGCCCATGATAGCTTGCCCATGTTCTAGGGGATGGAACCATACTCATGCATAAACTGGCAGCACTAATTAGGCCCAAGGGGTTATTTTAAAAGGAGGAAGAAGAGGAGGAAGAGGAAAAACAAGAAGTTGGGAGAGGGATATGGAGGGAAGAGTGTAACCAGGAGGAGTTGATGTGAGGAAAAGGGAGTGGATAATATCAAAATACATTGTATTCATATGTGAAATGAAGGAATAAGAAGTGTTAGTAAGAACTCAACCTCCTTATACTGCATACAAGTTTTGTCTCCAGTCACATGCCATGTATGTATTACTTTTTAATGTCTTTGTGCTAGGCATTTTACTATGCCCTGGATACATAGGTATAGCTTCCTATGTATTCACAAGGAAATTTACAATTTAGTTGCCAGGGAGGAAACATTAGTGGAACCTAAACAGTGTTTCAATCCAAGTAATAAATGTTAAGCTTTGTGCACCATATGAGATCTCTATTGTACACTTTTCTTTGGCTTTATTTGTTTATATAACCATTTAACAATTTACATTGTTACACTGTTACAGTTTTATAAACCAGCCTTTGCTCTCCAGCTATATAAAATCAAGCCAGAGAATGTGAGATGACTCTAGGGGTAAAGGTGCTTGTCATGCCAACCTGATGACTTCAGTTCCATCTAAAGAATACACAAAAATGGTGAAAGAGAGACCCAACTTCAGAAAAAATTCTCTGACCTCCAGACACAGGCAATAACATAATCCCACCCACATAGGTTTATCATAAACATATTGTATGCACACAGAGACACACAATGACAATAAATTAAATGTAATGAATAAATGAACAAAACCAAGCTATACAGGGCATGAAGTCTAGAGCTAAAGCATCCATTGAACAATACGGATTCTTCTTAGATGATGATAAATGGAAAACCAGAGGTGCAGACAATCTAACCCTTTTACCACTCCTCTCTTTGCATAGGCTGTTGTCTAAACTGGAAATCCTGTCTCATTCCATGCTCTTTTCTTCCAATTAGCTGCACGTCGTCAAGGCTGAGCCACAAAACAGATCCTCTTCCAGAAATCCTCCCTTGTGTAACCTATGGAGCCCAACTGTATTACAGAACTTACCTCACTAGGTGGCAATTGTTTGTTGCTTGGCTGTCTCCTCGATTAAGCGCTTGGGAAAAAGAACATGACTTATTTTTATTTCCAGAAAACAGCACCAGACCTGTCAGTTAATTAGACACTTAATTCCTACAAATAATGTAAAAACAAAAAAAGGAAAAGGCACAAAGCCAGGCTAAAAACAGACTGTAGAATATTCCATGCACGTCCGTGATTGACTGCTGATAAAAGAGTATCCATGATTTAGCAGGAGAATAAATTGATCAAAGTTTTAGAGATGGAAGGGTGTGCTGGAATGTTAGTGATCTTCCTAGCCATGCAAAACTATGTTCAAATCCCAGTGCTATTGCTGACTGAGCATATGAGTCAGGTTGTGAATGAATCTGATGAGTTCCATTTTTTTTTCAGAGCCAGGAGGAATCCAGGGCCTTGTGAATTTTAGACATATGCTTTACAACTAGCGTGTGTCTTTAAAATCTGGTCTTTAACTTTAGGATTTGTAGGAAATCCGGGTGAGAAAGGAAACAGAGGCATTCCAGGGTTACCAGGTCTGAAAGGCATCGCTGGACCGCCTGGGCCACCAGGACCTCCAGGTATGGCTAACTCTTCAATAGAAACATCATACTCTAAGAAGTCCTGCACTAAATGTAGTGAAATGTACTTCTAGACTTATTAGGTCAAATATAAACTCTGCCCCAAAAGTATTTGAGGAGAAAGTTGTTCTAAATTAAACCAAAGTAAAGGTGTTTAGTAGCTGGCATCTATTGACTAAAGAATAGCCTACACGGGGTTGCATTTTTATTCTCAAAGTTTTATTTTTAACGTGCCAGAGATAAAAATTAATGCTTTAGTCATTTTCATTTTTGCATCTTCCTTTAATAAACAAGTTATGGAGTTTGCAAAGTAATTTTAAGCTATTAGGTTCCTACCTCCATCAAACCCAATATCAAAATGGCTGAGATGGCAATTAACCTTCAATATGCTTCAGAGATGGACTGCAGTGCAGTCAGTTTTTTCTGCTGATGTTGGTCCTAGGAAGGCTTTGATCAGGCCTAATAATAGGGCAATCACTTTATCCGGTTTTCCTCAGTCCCCAGTCCTAGGGTGAACCCTGGCTGAAGGCAAAAGGACAGTTAACCCCTAACCAGCTAGCCTAGGAATCCCATACTTACCCACTCATGGGAACACCAGCTTCCCAGCTAATGTTATCATCCTGTTATTACAAGCCCTCAAACTCACAAGTCAGAACTGTAGGTTTTTCTGTGTCTGGAATCGTTGTGCGGTTTTTTTGTCGTTGTTGTTTTTGTTGAATAGAAAGTTCTGTACTTATCTATTCAAATAAGTACAGAAGATATGTGTTGAACACATATGCCCAGGAACTAGGTCATATGACTCTATTTATTCTCAAGGCCCTAGAGGAGATATGGGACACAGTGGGAATCCCGGAGGACCAGGACAAAGTGGCATGCCAGGAAGCATGGGAAACATGGGTGTGCCAGGTAATGCTATGACCCTGCTATTATGAGCCATTGAGCTCATGGCAAGTCAGAACTGTAGATTTTCTGTGTTTCTCTGTGTTGTTTTGTTCATTTAATAGAACGTTTATGTTACTAAGCATGGCTGTTAGACAAAGGTTCTCTGTGCAACTACGACATGAGTGGTAACCAGCTGCATATATTGTATAATATTCATATATTATATAGCTCAATACTGTGGAAAACCCATCTTGGAGAATTGGTTCATACAAACATTTCAAGATGCTTGGAATACACGGGATACTTCGAGATCCTTCCTTCACTTGTCTTACTCGGTAACTGTCATCATTTCAGGCCCTAAGGGGAATAAAGGAACTTTGGGACTGCCAGGTCTAGCTGGAAGACCAGGCCTTCCCGGGATTCATGGTCCCCAAGGAGATAAGGGGGAACAAGGTCATTCAGAAGGCGCAAGGCCAGGACCACCAGGATCAAAGGTATGTAGACCACTGAAATAGTTACATTTTGGCAAGGGTGGAGAGCCTTAAAATATCAACAAAGACCAGATCCAGTATAAGCTGAAAAAAACTAAGCAATTTCTACACATTCCGGCAGCTATGTTTTTGTTTTTAACATATTCCTATTTTGCAACTGAGACTGTCTCAAACTCTTGGGAAATGTCTCTGTCCCTGCAGTTTAAGTGTGCTTCCAGCAGGGGCAGTGGTGGCAAGTCCATACAAATTGACAGGGTAGGGTTTCTTTCTTTCCTCTGGATACAAACCATGGATTTACTGCATATAAAGCTTTTATTTTTGCTGTTTTTCAAGCAGAACTTTTATATTCTACCTGCAAAATTATTTGTCTCATTAAAATATAATAAAAGGCATAGAATAAAATAACTTTACAACATCATGAAAAAGTAAACAAAGTCCTAAGACGCCTGTATGTATCCTTGTGTTAAAATATTTTTAAATGTTTTCACTTCATTTCATAGAATGGTTTTGCCTTGTTGCAGTGGTCTTTCTCAGAGTTTGTGTTCCATCAGACTTAGGTTGGCTAGAAGACACTTTACATGTGTGGCGGCAACTGGATATCTGAGTGGGGCTTGGTTGCTCTTTTAGGCTTATTTCCATCCAAACTTTCTTTCTACACTTAACACTAGGAGTCAGAGCTGCACAAGTAAAGAGTCATTTGTAGACATTCCAAGAAGCAAAACTTTTAAACATGGGTTCGTGGCCCTCCCTGGAGAACTCTGCAGCAGCCCAGGGGACCCACTAATCTCCTAAAGTGGATGTAAAGTGCTCGGGTGTATGTTTTTGTAAAGGGAGAAGATATTTTTCATCAGCTGTTCAAAGGTTTACGGATCCAGAACGGAAAGTTGTTGCCTCAGAAATAATCTCTTTTGAGCCAGCAGACTAGCATTTCCTGCGATACCTGTAATCCCAGCACTTGGGAGACCGAGACAGGATGAGTAGTTGTGAAGGTCGCCAGAGAGGCCAGTCTCAGCTGCATGAGGTCCTGTCTCACGACAGCAACAAAAACCATTGCTATTACCATTTCCATCATCTGCAGCAGGGCTCTCAGTTGGCCACAGGTTGCTTTTTATCAGGTTAGGGAGTCATAGTAAGAGGATAATATATTCCAACCAGCCATAATGGAAAGTTTGTAAGTCACCATTAACCACCCATGTTCTGAATTATCATTAATCTGAGACACAGATATAATGAGTCAGGGATAGAATTTTTTAAAATGTGATTGGCATACGTGTGTCTTTAAGCGTGGTATCTGCAGGACACCTCTCTGCTTAACCTACTTCTTATTCCTGTCGGTCACCACAATTTCTGTAATTCTCTACTTGTGTGATTGATTTCGCATCTATCTCCGAGCTGGTCTCTCAAGTCCATCAAGGCAGGGGTTGTGGTGTGCATCATCGGCTCTGGGTGTACAGCCGGCCATCACACAGACCTTGTGCTGTCCCCGACCCCATCTTGGCTAAATGTTCTACCATTGTTCTCTTGAAACCCTACCAGAGTCCTTAAAAAGAGGGGGCTCCATTTTCATTTTGCATTGGGCCTCACAAAATGTGCAGCCAACCTATCCCCATGCACTTCAGGGTACTGGCCTGTCGCAGACACTCGGTGGGGACTGATAAATGGCTAAATGGGTTCTACTTACTGCTAACCACATATCCTGCTTATATGAGAACTTTAAAGGTGTTTGACTGAATTTAAGGGTGACCCAGGATTGCCTGGTGACAAAGGAAAGAAAGGAGAGAGGGGCCTACCTGGGCCACCTGGACAATCGGGGCCTGCTGGACCTGACGGAGTCCCTGGGAGTCCTGGGAGTCCTGGCCACCCAGGTGAGCCCCAGCTTTACAGTTCTGAAGGGGGAAGCAGTGTATATATGATGGCCCTGACCTTTTAGAACCATCTTTGTAAACAGAAAGCTACAATTTTGGATGTACATGCTACAATTGTTTTGATTCAACTTTGAATTTCAAATTCTACGGCACACACACAAAAAAATAGTGAATTGATCAAAAGCGGCCTCATTTGCTGTTTAGGCAACCGAAATCTAAACACCTGCTCTTGTAATCAAAACATCTGAAGTTCTGCCTCAGCAAATTCAGTGAAGAGACATGAAATGCTACTTGCCCACACAATCTTAGGATAGAATAAGATAGTTAGCAGGGCTTGTAATGCATGCATAGACTGGGTGACTTAACAGTCTGGAAGCCAGGGCACTGAGACCAAAGTGCTGGTGAGGATGGCTCTTGTGAGACCTCTGGCTCTTGTGAGACCTCTGGCCAAGCCACATCTCCCTGTCTCCCCTAGTGTTTTCATCCTAATCTCTTACAAAGGTGCCACGAGTGTTTAACTTTTTAAAATCGCATTATGTATTTATTTATTACATGTGTTATGTATGTATACGGTAGGATGCTTGTGGAGGTCAGACGACAACTTGAAAGAAGAACTTGTGGGACTCAGTGCACTCTTTCCATCATGTGGGTCCTGGGGATTGAACTCAGGTTGTTGGGCTTGGCTGCAAGATCGATACCCACTTAGCTATCTAGTCAGCTCCAATGCTGAAAAACCACATTGCTAAATACAATGGCATTCTGATGTGCTGGGTGCTGGGACTTCAATGTATGAAGGGAATCACACCTGTGTGATTTCCAGGAGAAATGTCTTTTGGGACAAATGTCTGAGGTGATCAGCCAGGAATTTCCTTAAGGGCAGCCTGAGCATGGCTGATGGGAGGAACTGGCTATTTCAGTAACTGACATAACTACCACTTGTGTCTTGGTGTTCTTTTTCTCTCCCCTCTCTGGATCTTTAGGGAATCCGGGTCCTGGTGGTGATTTGGGTCATAAAGGAAAGAAAGGCTTCCCCGGCCCTCCAGGAAACACTGGCCTTCCAGGTTTCATTTTAAAACTTATTCTGCCCCTTTGTCTGAAGAAAACACACTTCCCTCTCAAGGTTAGACTGTCTAAGCTCACTGTTCTCATAGAATGCAAAACAGTGGGGTCCATAGCACCACCTATGTAATTGAAGTATCTGCTGATATAAAATACCACACGGTCATCTCATGAGAGTATTAATCTGGGCTTTTTTTTTTTAACTTTTTGCAGTTTCACATAAGTACAGTTCTGAAAACTCACTACCTTTGGCACTTCCCACCTATTTCCCCGTTATTCACAGTAGGCCACAGAAGGAGAGAGGACCTATCTTTGAATGTCATGGTTTGGGTTTCTGTTTGTTTCAGGTCCTCCAGGACTCCCAGGACCTCCTGGGCCAATGGGTATGAGAGGTAACCAAGGACATGATGGAATTCCTGGTCCACCTGGAGAAAAGGGAGAAACAGGTACAGCTTCCTTAAACAAACAAACCAACAAAAACATTTATTTACTTTGTGTGCATATGTGCATGTGTCTGGGTTCATTCATGCCGCGGCTGTTTTGCGGAAGTCAAGAAGATGAATTGCAGGAGTTGATCCTGCCTTACCCTACGAGTGTCCTGGTGGATTGAGTTCAGAGCATCGATCTGAGAGGCATGAGCCCTTACCCACAGAGCTACCTCACTGGCTCTTGATTTTAACATTTGATTCACTGGTTTATGAATAGCATTTTAATTCCATGTGACTCTAACAATTCCTCACTGATGGTCCCTAACACAGTCTCAGTGTGTACCAGTTGTACTCCCTTCATATATAAGATGTGCTAACATTAATTGAATATTAATATATGTAAATTACCTCTTACAGGCTTGTTGGGGGCCTATCCAGGCCCAAAAGGGAGCCCTGGTGTTCCAGGTAGGCAGATTTTCTTCCCTGAACTTAAAATTCACATCTCCTAGATGAGAATCTAGTTCTCCATTTTTGGTTTATCAAACGATGTAACTTGGCAAATGAAAGATGCCCCAGTGGTGATACTAAATATTTATGGTCTAAATAGTTCATAAAAACTATTCTCACAACAAATAAATGAATCCAATGCTGTGACCTGGCTTTTGGGATTGATTTCCTTCTGTGAAAGTTTTTAAAGATAAAACTAATTCATATTTGGTTGGTTATTTCGATGACCTGACTCCTGAAAGGATGCAGGCGAAGCCGGCTCCCCTGGAGGCATCCTTCCCTGGTGTTGAGATTCGGGGTAGTGCCATCCTTTCCCACTTTGATCCCAGCTCCTGCACTGAGCTTGGGGTTCATGTTATTGTTTGTCAAGGGCTATCCTGTACCTCTCTCAACATCTGAGCCATGACAACTTATCTAACACGTTCCTCAAACTCTATGCATGTTTTTGTTTGTTTGTTTGTTTGTTTTTGGGTTTTTTTTTGAGACAGGGTTTCTCTGTATTGCATTGGAGGTTGTCCTGGAACTCGCTCTGTAGACCAGGCTGGCCTTGAACTCACAGATATCCGCCTGCCTCTGCCTCCCAAGTGCTGGGATTAAAGGCATGTGCCACCAATGCCTGGGTTGTTTGGGTTTTTTACAGACTAGATGTGCCTTTCTTAAGCTAGTGTCATAGGGTAAACAGATTCTTTGAACTCTTTTCCATTTTGTAGAGAAAGAAGCTAAGAGAAACAGCAGACTGTTTGCACCTTTCAGTGAACTTTCTTCTTTCCAGGTGTCAAAGGAGGCAAGGGAGCTCCAGGCTTGCCTGGCTTCCCTGGCAGGAAGGGGACCATGGGAGATGTTGGACTTCCAGGACCCCCAGGCATCAGTGGACTCCCAGGACCACCAGGTCTACCTGGGGCAATTGTCTCTGGTCCAAAAGGAAACAAAGGTCTGCCTGGCCCAAGAGGAAATCCAGGTAGAGAGGGTTTCCTTTCACAAGTTGAAATGAAACCACATTTGACAGAAGAGGTGTTTTTCCTCACAATTACCTCATAGCTTCTTGTTTTGCTCCCTGTTTTCTTCATTCTTCTCATGTCCCGGACTCTCACATTAGTGAATTGATGGTGTGGTTGAGGGACAGTGGCCTGGGCAAAAGATTAGCAGATTTAATTAATATCCTAAAGACAGAGCCCTCTATTGTTGAGCCTGTACTACGCATCAGGCTGAATGCTTCCCTACAAACTGTCCTCAGGGAGATACAGTTCCTTCCTGCTATCCTGCACGCTTCCCCAGCACGCTCTTACTCCACCCTCACCATAGTCCAACCTCCCAGCAGCAAAGGAAAGGGTGTTTGAGGCAGTAAAAAGGTGTAGGGTTTGTATTTCATTTAAAAGAATCCATGACAGAACTCTGCAGAAACCCTTATTGGCAACTCTAATGGACTCTGTGAATTCAGGTATGCCAGGCCCCCCTGGACCTCCAGGACTTATCATAAAAGGCATAAAAGGTGACAAAGGATTTATGGGCCTACCTGGCCCCAAAGGTCTACCTGGAACTGTAGGCGACATCGGCCCACCAGGTCACCCGGTGAGTGTGTAATGTTATTAATACGCTTCCATTTACTGCTGTTATACTGCATTAAATTGTATACATCAGTTCTGGTCACACCTGCTCACTATTCATGAACTGTCTTAATAACTCTGGTAAACCAGCTGTCGTACATGCTCGCTGCACCTGAACACAGCGGACATTCACTGTTGATGATACATCTGTGCAGTGACACAGTGCATCCAAGGTCCCACAGAGTCCAGGAAATCTTAAGGACCGCACAGAGTTCCCCTCTACAAGGCCTTTAACACATGGATCTATGGGGTACAAACCTCTGGCCCTTGCTTATTTAAACTCTGAGCTATTCCAATGCAGGAAGAAAACTAAACACATATTAGCTGACAATTGTCGCCAAATGATAGTCATGCTTGCCCTCTATTAATATGTTTTCAAAATTACCTTTGCTATCCTGTAAAATTTCAATTTTTCCCCACCACATGTCACCAATGTTTGAATGTAATTTCAGTCTCATTGTTCATCAATCTTACCTCTACCCTGAATACACCCCAGTTCCACACTGTGTCCCTTTAAAATGAAGCCAGCAGTAGAAACCCTTGCAGAAATAAGAGCTAAGTCCTCTGGTGGGTGGCTAAGGGAGGGAAGCATCTCATTGGCCTGAACATTACCATTTTAGGACTTCAACCTAAGAGCCCCCGGCCACTCAGCTGACTCATGGCCACACTGGTAATGACATCCTGGGGTCACAAGACTTTTCTTCATAAAATTCTATGAGGCTGTTGTAGGAATAATCTGCCTTCCCAGTGAAAAATCACTCCACGCACTTAGAGATTGAAAAAGGAAAAGGCTTTTTAATAGCATGTGTTGAGCCCTGGCTAATGCCCACAAGAAACTTACCTCCAATTGGTTTTACTAATGTATTTACACTTAGGATTGTGTATTTCACATAAGCGATTATTTACCCACTCCAAAAACAAACAAACAAACAAAACAAAACCAACAACTCTTCGTCATGGGTCCAGGTTACACTTTGAACAATTTAAACAGAGACCAGAGACTATAAATCTGACCATTTAGGCATATGGGAGATTTCCACAACAAAGATATTGCTAGAATTATTTTAAGCATACCAGTATTGTACTTTTTTCCCCAAATAGTTGTTACCCAAGTGCATCTTGACCATCTGGCAGAATTATGCTTTTCCAAAGAAGAGAACCAGGGACTTTATGGAAGGCAAGGACTTAACACTGCTTGTGACCCCATGCTACCCCCACACCCCACTGTCACCCCCCACCTCCACCCATCCTGTTGGAGACTTGTTCTTTAGTGAGGAACCTAATGGCTGGTCAATCCTTGTTAACATTTGCATCCTAGCATCAAAAGTCTTGCTTCTCTCTAATAGGCCTGGTTAGCTGCTTGTCTTTGGGGTACTTTGGAGGCAGCATTCCCTCAGCCAAATCCTACTTTATGTGATTAATGTCTCCTAAGCAAATGTACTAGTAAATTCTTTATAACACCAATTCTATTACTTTGAGTTTCTCCTCCATCAATGTTTCTTCCATATTTTCCTTGTCTAGCTTTGTGTTGTTGGTGTTTGAGGTGTAAGTGCAGAACTTTTACATTTACCTCCAAGGATGCCACCCTGTTCTTGTATGCTGACTCCTGGGCCTACAAGGCCTCTTATTTCTGAGTCTCTGAGACCTCAACCTCTACCACCTCTCCTGAATTCTATTAGTAGCACATTCAGTAAGCCCGTCTCTGTTTTTCTTGGTCTCTTGGGAAGAGATGTTAAGTAGATGTGATTCAATGCTCATTATCAAGTGTCTGCCCTGTCAATGCAGCCTAAGGTGAAGGAGACAGACACTGAGGCATGCTGCGTGCTATGAGGGAAGGTGGAGGGCTGAAGGAATACAGGAAGGACACCTAATTTCATCTGTGGAATATACCTAGGGCCTGAGTCTGAAAAGATACACACCAGTTATCCAAGATAACAAGAAAATCACGAGTGAAGGCTAAGAGGAAAGGAGCTTTTCAGAGCCTAAACACACTGTGTGTGAGGGGTACAACTGGAGGAAGAGGTAGAATAAGAACCCATCCAGATGAGACCAGAGGACTGAAAAGGGATCAGGTCATCACGGTCTCGTTTACTAGAATAAGAAGTAATGCATTACAGCTGGAGAGATGGCTCAGTAATTAAGAGCATCTGCTGTTCTTCCGGGGGACCTGGGTTCTGTTCCCAGCATCCACATCAGTCAGCTCACAACCACCTTGTCTTAGTTAGGGTTTCTATTGCTGTGAAAAGACACCATGACCATGGCAACTCTTAGAGTTGACATGGCTCACTTACAGTTTCAGAGATTTAGTTCATTATCATCCTGGCAAGAAGCACGATGGCATGCAGGCAGAGATGGAGCTGGAGAAGGAGTTGAGAGTTCTACATCCTGATCTGAAGGCAGCAGGAGACTGCCCCACTAGGCCTAGCTTGAGTATATATGAGACCTCAAAGCCCACCTCAACAGTGACATACTTCCTCCACCAAGGACATACCTACTCAACAAGGCCACACCTCCTAATAGTGCCGATCCGTATGGGCCAAGTATTCAAACACATGAATCTATGGGGACCATTCCTGTTCAAACCCCCACACACCTATAACTCCAGCTCCAAGTTATCCAACACTTCTGGTATCTGACAACACCTGTGTTCACACACACCCATACACACACTAAACCTCAAAGAATAAGTACATTACTTCTTCATTCAAGAGTGTGTAGTGAGTTTCCTTTACAAGTTGGAATTAACCCTTTAAATAACTTGCCTTTTGTTTGGTCATTCACTAAGCTCGAAGCCTATCTTGACTGCCCTATGTAACAGCCACTGTAACCACAAAGCCACGGTAAGGAGATCACATGAAAATACAAAATCTCTATGACCCAGCCCACCACCCTACCTCTAATACCCTCACTAGGGTAAATATGGGGGTTCTGTGGCACAACTATTATTAGGAACCATGTTAAACTCCTTCAATCCATTTTATTATTTGGTTTCTAGAGTCTACCTTTTGAGATACTGTCCACTTCCATCTAATCTGTAGATGTTACTCATATGCCCTCTGATGCTTTAAAAGGTCTCATTATTGATCTGATGATCACATCTAAAGTTCTCCTAGGGACACTGGCAGACAGAAAGCCCAATCTGTAAAGAGACTTGTCTAATTCTTTGGATGCTTCAATAGTCATTTCCAATGGAGAGATGATTCTGCTTGAGGGATGTCCTGACTGGCCTCTTAACAACTCTTTCTTGGCACAAAATGCCTCCCTTTCCACTCGAGGGCTGAACCTGGTGTCTTACTTTCCTTAGCTGCCTTTTGCTAAAGAGACAGGCAGCTGCCAGAAACCGGAGTCTCTGATCAGATAGATGGATCCCTTTTCTCTCCCTCTTCTTTTAACCTCATACCATCTCGTGCCAGCAATTGGACTACTGTCTTTTTCCTCTGGAGGCAGCTGATTCTGAGGCAACCTTTGTGATTCTTGGCACCTTTTCATGATGTTTGGTTCACTGTTTTCAATAGCATTTTGTCTCAATTCTCAAGAGCAGCATGAGAGTCGATCTAAGGTAGTTCTCTTTTCAGAAGCCACACTTTTCCTTTCTTAGTGCTGCCCTTGAGTGTCTCATGGCTCCAACAATTAGTGTGAACACCTCCTACTCAGTAGGCTCTACCCCTTCCCCTCTAGCCCTTTCCAGTCTCATCTCTAGACAGTTTAGTTCTCTTGCCACCCTCATCGGGAGTAATTTAGAACACTTCCAGCTTAGCAGAAAGACAGTTGGGTTCAACAATGGTCCTTGAAAAAAATTAAAGGTTCATTCTTCATGAAATAATCTGAAATACAGGGCAGTTCCATTTAAATGCATTCAAGCTAAAACAGTATACACTAACATTAGATAGCAAGTTTGCTCTTTGTGCTTTACATTGTGTGTGTGTGTGTGTGTGTGTGTGTGTGTGTGTGTGTGTGTGTTTTAAATAATCCTAAGAAGAAGCTCTAGGGAGGCAGAATACTGAACTGATAGGTTAAAATGATGTCAATCAATTTCACCTTATTCTTATCCAATATAGTTATATCTTTTGCTTAAAAACTAATCTGTCATGAGTACTGTATTTTTAAAACTTTGTGGTTCTGCTCTTTTCTTATGTACTTGAAATATAGGGAGCACCAGGCACCCCAGGTATTCCAGGTCTCAGAGGTGATCCGGGATTCCCTGGATTTCCGGGCATAAAAGGTACTATTTTGACACCATTACTCTTATATACAAATACAGTAACTACTAATCAAATCACATCTGTAAAACTGCACCTCATGTTTGATAAGCTCTTATGGCCACCAGAGAAGTACAAACAGAACAACCTTGGGGAGAGGACCTACCAACAGGATATCAATGTGAGCACTCCACTAGCAACTGAACCCATGAGATTGAGAGCAAAGCTACAATACAATAAAGGAAACTATAGGAAAATTAGACAATTGAAAGTGTTACCTTTGGGGGTTTTAAAATGCATTGAGATGAGGAGAGGCATACTACATCAATACTGATAGCACTGTTTTGAAGTTTTGGTCTTGTGCATTTAATCTCACGATTTGGAACGCTCAAACCATCAAAAACAGCAGCCACCAGACCATTAGCATGGGCAAAGTGAATTTTTATGCACAGTGTATATACTTGTGTTTTTATGGGACTTTTTATTTATAGGGACTGAATTAAAAGTTTCATCCATGCTGGGCAAGAGCTCTAAAACTGAAACCCAAGCCATTATAGTCTTAATATTAAATATTCTGTGATATGCCAGGGGTAGTAGAGCATGCTTGTAATTCTAGCACTTGGGAGAAAGTGGCAGGAGGATCCGCTACAAGTTCAAGGCCAGCCTTCTCTACATTGTGAATCCCAGGCCTTCCAGAGCTATGCAGAGATTCTGTTCAAGAGGGGGAAGTATGATGGAATGCAAACGCTTTTTTTTATTAGCATCCTTGTTTAACTGTTCATTCCCCTACTATGAGTTTCATAGGACAGGAATCTCTTATCACAGTTGGTGGAGATACTAAGTAACAGCTGTATCCCACTTGAACAAGGTCAAGTTTCCATGAAGAAAACTGTTTCTCCTTTCAAAGGAGAGCCAGGTGGGCTTTAGAACATCTTTTTTACAGTTTCTTCAGACTCCAGGCTTTTAAGGAGCAGTTATCTTAGGATAAATTATTGTGAGTGATTGAGAGGAGTCTCACTAGATGTGGGTCGGGTGAATACAGGCAGGCCTTCCTGGGCACAGTTAATGACACCATCTTCCTAAGTCTCAGAATAAAAACAGACACTGTGATGAGCACATTAGAGGCTCCACTAAAGAAAAGCATCCTTTAAGGCTTTTAAATATTTAGAGGTAAACAGGGAGGAGAGTCCTACAGTCAATGCCTGAGATCAGTTAGATTTCAGAATAAAACCCTTGTTTGGATCCTCTATGAGATTCCACATCTTCATTTGGAAACAGTTCCAGGTAGCTTCTCACAGTCACAAGTATACATTCATAATTTCTTCTTGTTCTCAGAGAAAATAGGTGATTTCTAAAGTAGTCCTCAGTTAACTTTTGGTGCAATAATTAATTATTTTGTTCTGTTTCTTTTTTCCCCTTTTCTCTGTTTTGCTTTTTTGAGACATCCTCAAACTTGCAATTCTCCTGCTTCTGTCATCCAAGTGCTGGAATTAAAGACTTGTATCACTAAGTCCAACCTTATTATATTTCACCTATTGGTATCATATTTGATATTAAAGTATCTGAAGTAATTATATGTAACTTATGTTGTTGGTTTGAGACAGGGTCTCTCTATGTAGTACTGGCTGTCCTGGAACTTGCTAATGTAGACCAGGCTAGCCGCAAATTCACAGAGATCCACTTGCTCAGTCTCCTGAGTGCTGGCATTAAATGCAACATGCCAAGTCCATCTCTATGCACTTTTTTAAATTTATTTTTCAGTTTAAATTTAGATAAGAAACAAGGTTGCTTCACAAGTCAGTTCCAGGTCCCTCTCCCTTTCCCTCCCCTACTCCCGTGCCCTCCCCTCTATGCACTTTTAATACTCTTTGAAGGAGTAGTTCTCCAAATCCATGGCTATTTCTTGGTAATCTTTTATCATCTGTACAAAAGAGTATGAATAGAAGTGAAATGTTGGCCATTTTGTTACATAAATAAATTTACTTGAGAATTCCTGACTTAATGAACTCTGGAATATCTGTACAGCTGGAGCAACAAAATAAGAAAGCAGGTAACTGAGACAACTAAATGTAAAAGCTCATTAAGAGGTATTAACATGGGTTAGGTAGGACATCGTAACTTACCCAAAGCACTTCATTGTTTCCCAAACTGGAAAAGTGAACTCTCAGGAATGCTTCCCTGTGAATATTAAATTGTAAGGTTTTTTTCATTGTTTCTTTCTTCCTCTCCCTTCTCCTTAGGAGAGAAGGGCAATCTAGGATTTCTTGGATCAATTGGACATCCGGGACCAACTGGACCAAAGGGACCACCTGGTAAATATGTCTGTTTCTCTACCATTGTTCTCTATAAAGAAAGGGTGGTTTCACGAAGTCATATTCTCATTGTGTTTATGTCAATAGGTGCACGTGGAAAACCTGGCACACTTAAGATCATCTCCCTTCCGGGAAGCCCAGGGCCACCTGGTCCACCTGGACAACCTGGAATGAAAGGAGATCCTGGGCCACTGGGACCACCTGGAATCCCAGGTGCGGTCTAGCACCCTTGACCTGGATCCTTAGCAAAGGGTGAACGAAGAAAAGCTGTAAAGCATTTTGCAAGCAGGAGAGAGAACCCCACAGAAAACACTAAACACTGCAAGGTCTTGTACAGGCAATTTAGGACTGGGTTCATTTACCCTTAATCAGCAGGAAAAAAAGGAGTTTAGACCCCTGTGAAAACATCTGGGCATAGTACAAAGTAGAAAAAGCACATCTTAAAATGACATGTTTTGTTTTTATTAGAAGAAAGGTATCCCACCCATCTACTACGGCATACACCAGCTTCAGGTTTCAATTTTTAAATGAATGTCTAACTATACCCAAGTTCTGCCCATGGGGACTCAGTCTAACAGTTTGTACAGCCAAGTGTTAAGGGAAAAATGACTCCAAAGTCTTTCCAGAATACTGATATTTGGAAATCAAACCTAATCCCTTACATAATCTTAGTATATAGGAATAAACTTATGAATAGGACTCTTGTTCTCTAAGTTTGTCTGAATCATATGAGAGATGAGAAAGGTATCACTTATTGGTTTGATCGCTTCATGGGCATTGTGAATTCTAGAATAAAATAAAACAAAGTACCATACACTTTCATATATTCATGGTTTCTTAAGGCCTTCTGGAGAAGTGAGTGAGCAAACATTCCAGTTTGCTCAGGACTAAGGGCCTTCCTGGGATGTCAAACTTGGCTGACAATACTGCAGAAGTCCTGTGCTTATGTGATGGCAAGTAAAACAACACTGTCTTTTGCCTAGGGCCCTGTGGACCAAGAGGCAAACCAGGTGAGGATGGAAAACCAGGATCTCCAGGACCAGTTGGTGAAAAGGGTGACAAAGGCTCTAAAGGCCAGCAAGGTAAACGCCCAGCTCGCCTCCCTTGCTGAAGCAGTATTGTTTCAGTGTTCAGTGTCAGTGATCAGGTGACTTCCAGAAAGAGTATTCTGGGTCTCCTGGTTAGTACTATTGTTTGGATTAAAACAAAGGCAGGGGGCCAAATGCTCATTTGGAAGAAGGAAGAGTCACAAATGACTGGAATACACTGTCTATTCTGCCCTGGGCAGATTTACTCTTTATTTTTAGTCAAGGCATAAGTCTTTAACTAAGAACAAATAGAGCTGATGAGGCACTAGTTAGTATCCTATTTTCAGAAAGGGCAATTATTCCTTAATTACCTACAGGTGTTATGTTGGTTAATAATTTCTTATAGGAGCTGTATGACCTGGACCAGCAGGTGGCTCTTCAGTGACAGGGTCTTAAGCGAGAGGGCCAGGAGACTAGAAGATAAGAAGATAGGAAAGTGTGGGATGGGGAGGTCTTGCACAAGCTACTTCTTTTTTTTTTCTGGGTTTACATATTTATATGTGTACCAGTACTGTGGGGCTTGTTGCTATGGACTTGTAATATAATTTAAGCTCAGATATCGGGATAGTGCCAGCATTGCTCTCTTTGCTTGTGACTGCTTGGGTTATTCGGGGTCTTTTGTGCTTCCATATGCATTTTATAATTACATATTATTTTCTAGTTCCAAATAATTCATTGATGTAGACCTACTGAATGAAGATGAAAGGTTTCCCCATTTCATAGTGTCTTTTTTTTTTATTTTATTTTCCAGTTTAAATTTGGATAAGAAACAAGGTTGCTTCACAAGTCAGTTCCAGGTCCCTCTCCCATTCCCTCCCTTCCTCCCGAGCCCCCCCCCATTATCCCCTCATTTCCCCAGGGAGGGTGAGGCCCTCCATGGGGGTGTGCATAGTCTGTCATTTCATATAGGGCAGGGCCTAGACCCTTCCCCAAGAGTTCGGGTGAGAGTGCACCTCACATTGTTCTATGGGAGTCCAAAGTCCGTGTGTATACTTGGGATGGGTACTGATCTGCTGCCCAAGGCTCAATAGATTCCCTAGGCCTCCTCACTGACACCCAGATTCAGGGGGTCTTGATCAGTCCCATGCTGGCTTCCCAGGCTGATGCCTGGGATTCAAGAGTTAACCTTTGTCTGGTCAGCTGTTTCTGGGGGTTAAACCAGCCCAGTCTTAATCCCTTTGATCATCAGTCCTCCCTCTCTGTTACTGGCTTTCTTGAGTTCAGCTCAGTACTTAACCAAGGGAGTCTGCCTCTTCTTCGATCAGCCACTAAATAAAGTTTCTGTTTCCCAGACTCTCTGGCCATAGGATTGAAGGCTGGCACTCCCCAGATCTATGTCTAAAATCCATATATGAGAGAGTACATGCCATGTTTCTCTTTTTGTGACTGGGTTACCTCACTCAGGATGGTTTCTTCTAGTGTCGTCCATTTGCCTGCGAATCTCATGATTCCATTATTTTTTTCTGCTGAATAGTACTCCATTGTGTAGATGTACCACATTTTCTCTATCCACTCTTCAGGTGAGGGACATCTAGGTTGCTTCCAAGTTCTGGCAATTACAAATAAAGCTGCTATGAACATAGTGGAACAGACATCTTTGTTGTATGAATGGGCATCTTTTGGATATATGCCTAAGAGTGGAGTTGCTGGGTCTTGTGGTAGGTTTATTCCCATTTTTCTGAGGAATCTCCATACTGATTTCCAAAGTGGCTGAACCAGTTGGCACTCCCACCAGCAATGGAGGAGTGTCCCCCTTTCACCACATCCTCTCCAGCATAAATTGTCATTGGTGTTTTTTATTTTAGCCATTCTGACAGGAGTGAGATGGTATCTGAGAGTTGTTTTGATTTGCATTTCCCAGATGGCTAAGGATGTTGAGCACTTTCTCAAGTGCCTCTCAGCCATTTTAGACTCCTCTATTGAAAACTCTCTATTTAGTTCTGCAGCCCACTTTTTAATTGGGTCCTTTGCTGTTTTGGAGACTTGCTTCTTGAGTTCTTTGTAAATTTTGGAGATCAACCCTCTGTCAGATGTGGGATTAGTGAATATTTTTTCCCATTCTGTGGGCTGCCTTTTTGTCTTGCTGACTGTGTCCTTTGCTTTACAGAAGCTTCTCAGTTTCAGTAGGTCCCATTTATTAATTGTTGATCTCACTGTCTGTGCTACTGGTGTTATGTTCAGGAAGCTGTCTCCTGTACCAATTCGTTCAAGGGTACCACCCACTTTCTCTTCTAAGAGGTTCAGTGTGGCTGGATTTATGTTGAGGTCTTTGATCCATTTGGACTTAAGTTTTGTGCATGGCGATAAACATGGATCGATCTGCATTCTTCTACATGCCAGTCTCCAATTATGCCAGCACCATTTGTTGAAGATGCTTTCTTTATTCCATTGTATATTTTTAGCTTCTTTGTCAAAGATCAGATGTTCGTACGTGTGTGGGTTAATACCCGGGTTTTCAATTCGATTCCATTTGTCTACCTGTCTATTTTTGTGCCAATACCAAGCTGTTTTCAGGACTATAGCTCTATAATAGAGCTTGAGGTCAGGGATGGTGATGCCTCCGGACGTTGCCTTGTTGAACAGGGTTGTTTTGGCTATCCTGGGTCTTTTGTTTTTCCATACAAAATTGATTATTGTTCTTTCAAGGTCTGTGAAGAATTGTGCTGGGATTTTAATGGGGATTGCATTGAATCTGTAGATTGCTTTTGGCAGGATTGCCATTTTTACTATATTGATCCTACCTATCCAAGAGCATGGGAGATCTTTCCATTTTCTGAGGGCTTCTCTAATTTCTTTCTTTAAAGATTCAAAGTTCTTACGATACAGGTCTTTCACTTGTTTGGTTAGCGTTACCCCAAGGTATTTTATGTTGTTCGTGCACAAGCTACTTCTTATGCCAGGCAAGTTGGTTAAGAAGTACAGCAACTGATGTACTGTTTCCAGGGGATTAGGGAACAGTGTGAGTGGAAAGCTGTCGTACAACCGGAGGACGAGAGGGAAGCCAATCAGCCAGTGTTACTCAAGGAGAACACAGGGGCCTGAAGGCCATCAGGGACTGAGCACAGGGTGGCCTTGGGGCTGACAGCCATAGCCCATCAGGGCAGGAAAAGTTGGGTTCTTGGGATCCTAAGCCACAGCTCCCCCATGGCACTGGCCCCAGGTCACTACGGCTCTGCCAGGTATATCCTGGGTTTTAGAAAAAGAACTGTGCTCCTTCCCCACTTGTCAGAGTCTCACGGAAAAGCATTCAAGGTCCTGGTCCCAGGCTATTACTGACTCTGCCATGATATTTTTCTGGTTTAAAGAAGGGAAGGAGCTATGTTCCTGCTCTGTACATCAGGGCTTCAGGGAAAGCTTTGCTTGGTCTACCTCTCAACAAGTACATCATGCTAAGTTGGGGGTTTTGCTGTTGTTGTTTATTTCCTTTTAAAATGCTATCTTGGCACCGATAGAACAACTTTGCTTCCTTATTTAGGAAAGTCACCTAAACTATTTTGAACAAACGTCAACTCTTCATGTGTGTATTCTGTAAAAAAAAAAAACTCTAAATACAATACATGGAATATAAGCTATGTATCTAAGTCTATCTTCTGCAAAAGTTTCAAAGCATCGCTCTGGAAAATACTGAAATGCCTAACAGCCTAAGGTTCCCAACTTTGTTAATGAAAGCATAACTTCCACGTATGATTTCCCAACTAGGTTGAGCACTTCAATTCAAATATGATACTGCAATATTAATTGTAATATTAACTGCAGGGTTACTTTTGATCTAGTGTTGCTGGGAATCTACATTAGAGGACATCCACCCACTTGACTTCATTCTTAACATGCTTTCGCAAATGGTTCTATTAATTTATACACTCTAATTACCAGAGCTGGGTTTTATAATGAGGTGACAGCAAGCATAGGACACCACAAATCAAACGGTGCGGAATATCGATTAGCAAGTAGTTAAACGCTATAGAGGCATAGGATACTACAAATCAAATTGTGTTGGGATCTGGTTAGCAAGTAGTTAAATGCTATAAAACCATACGATACTACAAATCAAATTGTGTTGGGATCTGATTAGCAAGTAGCTAAATGCTATAAAAGCATATGATACTACAAGTCAAATTGTGCTGGGAACTTATTAGCGAGTAGTTAAATGCTATAGAGGACTCGTAGGAGTGATACAAGGATTCAAGCTTATATCTGTAGAGATGCAGCATAGTCTTACATAGTGCACTAGCATGAAATCTTTTTTTGGGCAGGGGTTATTTTCAAGACAGGGTTTCTCTGTGTGTAGTTTTGGCTGTCCTGGAATGCGCTTTGTAGACCAGGCTGGCCTCAAACTCACAAATATCCCCCTGCCTCTGCCTCCCGAGTGCTGGGATTAAAGACATGAGCCACCATGCCCAGCTGCATGTGTATGAAATCTTACCTGCAGTTTCTGCCCTGCTCAGCTAATCATTTCACAGTTGCCTTGGAGACACTAGAAAGCATCTTCTGCTTAATATCCGTATTGGTTAGTTTTGCATCACTGTGATAAACATCTGCAAAAAAGGCAACTTAAGGGAGGACAGATTCATCACCAGCAGGAAAGGTACAGCAGTGAGAACATCTTCTGACCACAGGAGCAGCTCTCACCTCTTGCTGAGTCAGAGAAATACTGGCAGGTAAAATCTTCAGGTCCCACCTCCTAAGGATCCTTTAAAACAGTGCCACAAGCCAAGGAAGGCTGAGCATTCAAATCATAAGGCTCTGAGCAGCAGAGGCCAATTATCACCCTCTGTGACTAAGAGCAGAGGTTAGGGAAAGTAAAGGATGTGTCTGCCTCCTATGTATTAAACAGCCCAGGCCACTGTGAACTTGGGAAAAGAGGGAGGGACTGGAAGAAGAGGAGAAAGGATAACTCAACGAGTCTTATTTGGAAAGTGACAAAAGCAAATCAGCCTGCTCCACCTACAGAGAAAAGCCAAAGGGTAAATATCACTTTGTTTGCAAGTCTTGCAGATAAAGAAAGATCCCTTGTTACAAACGGAGAAGTCCGTTTGCCTTGCTAATGGGAATCACAAGATTTCTTAAAGTTTGCACCTCTAGAAAGAACTTTCAAAGTTTTACATAACTGTTTTCTGGATTTACCAGAAGCTTAGTAATTTTTATTATCTACATGAGCAGCTTTACAAGTTGTAGGTGCTTTATTTGATTCTATGCTACCCCCCAGCTCCGCCCCATACACACACATTGTAAGTCAAGCTATTGGTTCATTCATTAAAAAATGTACATGAGGACTATCAAATCAAATGTAGGACACTGTGCCATACATCCCAAGTGAATGCAAAGATCAAAAACGACCTGATCTCAAAAAAAAAAAAAACTCAAAACACATACAAGTTTGTGTGACAAGATACATCCTGTGATAAACTGGCCAATAGTATCATTTTTCCATTGCACCAGCTATCTTTGTGTCACTGGACAAAACACCTGGTATAAATAATGTAGAGGAGGAAAGATTTATTTTGGCACTAGGATTCGGAGGGGTCAGTTCATGGCTGTTTGGCTCTGTGCTTGGATGCCATGTGGTGGAAGAACATTGCTCACTGCATGGAAGACAGAAAGCAGGGAAAGGCAAATGGGAGGGGCCAGAGCAAGATACCTTATCCCAGGACAAATCCCACTTCCTACCTCTCAGCAACTCTCAATAAAGCCACCATCTATGAATTCATCAAGGAATCAATCCGTTCATCAGGACGGAACCCTCATGATCTAATCATCTCTAAAAACTCCTTCACAGACACACTCAGGAATGTCTTACTAATCTCCTTAGTGGTTCTTAACCCTCTTGATAATTAAAAGAAATGATCCTAGCCATTTTATAGTGCATTCTTCTCAAAGATTCCTTTAACTCATTTAAAGTACTACTTTGGAAAACAAGTTCGAGAGTCTGGCTATGTTGTGACATGTATAATTTGCTTGCCAAAGGACCACCTGGTTCGGATGGGTTGCCAGGCTTAAAGGGGAAACCTGGAGACAGAGGAACACCTGCCTCCGGGACAAGAATGCAAGGCTTTGTCTTCACCCGGCACAGTCAAAGCACAGCCACCCCTGCATGTCCCGAAGGAACACGGCCGCTCTACAGTGGGTTTTCTCTTCTTTTTGTACAAGGGAACGAACGTGCACATGGACAAGATCTTGGTAAGGGTCTAGTTTCCAGTCACTTTATGATGCAGACTGTAAAATATTTATAGGATGGGCAGTTCCTCTGAAGGTCATTGCAAACAATGTTAGCATCTTCCGGTGCATTTGTCAGAACAATTGTGGCTCAAGGTTTAGTTTTCATTCTGATATGTAAACTGCTAGAAGGAATGCAGCTAGATTGGTCAATGCCAACAAATTTCTCCTCAATATCTGTCTTTTGTTAATCCTCTTATTAATCTTTTCTAAAGCTTTCTCTATTATGAATACCTGGAAATAGCTGAAGCAAAGACATTGTCCCAACTGAACAACATCAGGCCCCAAGTTCTATCCAGGCTGGTTAGAAAGAGCTGTAAGAAGAATTCTTTTTTTTTTTTTTTATTTTTCGAGACAGGGTTTCTCTGTGGCTTTGGAGGCTGTCCTGGAACTAGCTCTTGTATACCAGGCTGGCCTCGAACTCACAGAGATCCGCCTGCCTCTGCCTCCCAAGTGCTGGGATTAAAGGCGTGTGCCACCAGCGCCCAGCTAAGAAGAATTCTTGATAGGGGAGGATTTGTTTACCCATTTGGGGCTTTGACTCTCATTGTTCTTAAAGCTTTTCAATGCCACATTTTGCAGATATTCTCTTGTATTGTTTTTCTTTTGTCCAGGTTTGTCACGGTTATGTGATAATTAGCCTGTGGCTAAATAATGATACTAAAAATGACTTTAATTTACAGGAAGTGATACTCAGCTTCATGTTTTCTTAGGCACCCTGGGCAGCTGCCTGCAACGATTCACCACAATGCCATTCTTATTCTGTAGCATCAATAATGTATGTAATTTTGCATCACGGAATGATTATTCCTACTGGCTGTCAACACCAGCTCTGATGCCAATGGACATGGCTCCAATTACAGGCAGAGCTCTCGAACCCTATATTAGCAGGTAAAAACTCAATCCCTTCATTTTGGAAGAGGGCCCAGTAGATTGCTTAACTTTTAAGGAATGTCAAAGTAGAAAGTGGTTGTCATACTATGGTTTCACTTTACAGATGTACCGTTTGTGAAGGTTCTGCGATGGCCATAGCTGTTCACAGCCAAACTACTGCTATCCCTCCATGTCCCCATGGCTGGGTCTCTCTCTGGAAAGGTTTTTCCTTCGTTATGGTAAGGGGAAAAAAGCCTTAGGACATTTGAAGTAATGGTTATTACTTATAGACTCTTGTACTGTGTTGAGGAAAATGTGGTCCCCTGCCTGCTAATATGTGTAATACGTCATAGATGCTTGACAATCTGAAAATACACTTAAATAGCAACTTTGGGGCTAGGGATGAACTCAGCTGGTAGTATTTACCTAGCATGAATGAAGTGCAAAGTTTCATTCCTCAGCCTTCCATAGAACTGAGTAAACCCAGCGTTCAGGAGATAGGGGCAGGAGGATCAGAAGTTCAAGGTCATCCTTAGCTAGATAACAAGTTTGAGGCCAGATTGTGGGACAAAAAAACTCAATAAGTAAAACATTAACAACACAAGAGTGACAGTTTTGATGCTGTTAATAAGAGGCAGCAAGCTGGCTCAGTGGGTGAAGACACTGCCACCAAGCCTGGAGCCCTGAGCTCAGCCTCTAATGCCACATTGTGGAAAGAGAATCTGCTTCCCCAAGTTGTCCTCTGACCTCCATACATTTGCTGTGGCATGCATGTACACACACACACACACACACACACACACACACACACACACACACACACACACCCCGCATAAATATATGTAATTTACAAATTTTTAAAAGACCTCTCACAAATCCTTAACTGTAGCATTCAAGTGAGAAGTAGCTACTCTTATGATAACCAGAGGAATACTTTTTAGCATCTGATGATTCATAAATAAAAATGGAGTTCCTTTCTTAAGGCATCATTATTATGAAGTGACAAGATGCACTTTGTACCGTGCTCCTCTGATGCTCCTAAGAAGCCGAGAATGGGGAGGAGCTTCTTAAAAAAAGCCCTGACACCAGCGCTAAATTCAGGATACAGACCATCCATCTATAGTGTTAACGGTTGTGTATGTGTCACTATTCACATTCTGCATAGCTTTGTTATGACACATCATTACCTTTCTTCACTCACAGCTGTTCACTCATTCAGTAATTAACAACTACACTGAACACCCATCTGATGAGGCTCAGCTGGTCTGGGGAGTAAGGATAGCAGGAACCATGTTGTTCTCGTGGTGTTTATATCCCAATGGTAAAGACAGACAATAGGCAAGATGAGAAAACAATAGTGGTAATGGGTCTAGGTGCTCACAGCTATGAGAACTCACAGCTCTCACTTTGCTTTGAATGACTGTATGTCTTCCTAGAAGATGCCCAGAGAGTTAGCAAATCTAGATAAAACAGGAGAAAGTTTTGTTTTCTGTTTTTGTTTTGTTTTGTTGTTTTTGTTTTTGTTTTGTTCCTGTTGCTTTATATTACTGTTCCCTATCCAAAAGACTGTGGAAGACTTGTATTTGAACTCCAATGAGAATGTTTACATTGAGATCCTTTTGTTGTGATAGTTCACAAGTGCAGGCTCTGAGGGTGCTGGCCAAGCACTGGCATCACCCGGCTCCTGTCTGGAGGAATTCCGAGCCAGTCCGTTTATTGAATGCCATGGACGGGGTACATGTAACTACTACTCAAACTCCTATAGTTTCTGGCTGGCTTCATTAAACCCGGAAAGGATGTTCAGGTAACTATGCAATGTCAGTCTTAGTCTGATGACTCTGACTGTAGAACTGTCCAAAGGCTGACTGTATCTGCTTCTTATTTTTCACCTGTGGATGAATGTACTTACATCAACTCTCTCATTCCTGCCAATAAAATGCTGTGTATCTTCAAACTCCCAAGTTAGAGGTATTTTCAAGTCAACAAATAAACTTTATATCTCACTTTGTCAGCAAAGACCAAATGTACACATGATTTTGTCATCATTAGGCATATTTGACACATATATGGATTTATAGTACATTATTGAATAAAAACACTAGCTAATTTTACTGTAATGTATTAGAAGGCTCATGAGTATTTAAAAGGGAAGGAATATTTTTCATTAAACAATGGATCTGTATGTTTGCAGGGTAGTCTGCATTCCATGAATTTGATGAAAATATAAAATATTGATATATGTTTATATATGCAAACATAATTTATCTTTTCAGAAATTCTTCTATAAAGGGAGATGTTTCTGTAATCAAACTAAAATAAGCTACAGTATTTATTAACAAAACTCAAAGCATATTAAGTGTTCCCTTTTATCCACAAGTCAATGAGTTCATTTATTTGTGTTTATTTCAGAAAACCTATTCCATCAACTGTGAAAGCTGGAAATTTAGACAAAATCATAAGCCGCTGTCAGGTGTGCATGAAGAAAAGACCCTGAAGAAAATAGAAGCACTTCTTTTCCTTCTTAAATAACCAAGTCATGGCTTGGTGCATGCATTTATCTAGGTCTTTTTTCGCTAACCTTACAGTGTTGTTCGGTGGAGATTTAGTAGTGCCAAGTTTCACCACACCAGATATGCGGGTCTCTATATCTGTGTGGTTTAAAGTTCCCTATGGGAAGGCAACAGCTTTCCACAAAATGTCACTGAAATCACATTCCGCTTGCACCCAAAGCACTGACTAAATCATGCCTGCATGGGGCTTGAACTACAAGCTCAGAGAGATTTGGTCAGGGGATGTACAATGTGTTCCTTGTCTTCCACTCTTGACCAAAGGAGTTTGGTTTCTTTCCACCTACTTCCTGAGACCTTAGACTTAAGCTAGAGAAGGAGATAGGGCATCCAGAGCACAGGCACACTGGATAGTCCAACCTGTTGAGGGGGACAATGCCCAAGAGCACAGAATGAATGAGGGTCATGATGTTTCAGGACTCATTTGCATATGTCCAAAGCTAGGACCAAAGGCAACTTCCTGAAGGGAATCGTATCAGGCTTGGATATAAAGTGTGGGTTTGTTTTCTGTTTGGTTGATGATGTCTATTTGCTTGTTCACTGGGCTCACTTTACTATGTCAATAGATTCAAAGGGGGTGAAATGCTTACCCTCAGGGGATTAATTTTATTAGGATGTTATACACACACACACTGAAACATTTCTCTTCAGTTTTCAATATACTCACAAACAACAAGGACACTACTTACTGGATGTGCACTTTATCCCCAATTCTGTAAATACTGACCTTAAAGAGTAGTTCAATAACCCAGGGAAGAATGAGAGGCACCCGCTGGTTTATCAGACTCCAAACATTTTTCTTTGATAAAAATAGTTCATAACAGCCGGGCGGTGGTGGTGCACGCCTTTAATCCCAGCACTTGGGAGGCGGAGGCAGGCGAATATCTGTGAGTTAGAGGCCAGGCTGGACCGACAGCCTCCAAAACAATACAGAGAAACCCTGTCTCGTAAAAAACCAAAACAAAAAAAAGTTCATAACATGGTTTTACAGATTTGTTCCTTTGTTACTTTTCTAACTTTTCCTTTGGAAAACATCACACACACACACACACACACACACACACACACACACACACACACACACACACCCCACACCACACGTTTTTATGTTATACATTCTCACCAACCATGTGAAGAGAGACCACTGGGTGAAAACCTTACTGCACACAGCTGCTCTATGTCTTAAAACTTGCTTTTAAGTATATTGATACATTCCCAAGTTTACTTAATTCAGTATAACAAGTATTTTCTTCAGTACTAAACTATGTCCCATACATTGAGCTGGGAGTGGGGGCAGGGGTAATGAGAGAGACATGCTTCTGGTCTCAGAAAAGGCAACTTTTCCTCGTGTAAAGATTCCCACACATAGAAGACCTCCCCCTACACACACAGACACACACACAGAGTCACATACTAATGTATCCAAAATTTTTAAATTTAAAAAATAAGATCTATGCCCAGGAAAAGTTTATGACCTTTAATGTCTCTTAATCAACCCAGAAGCCAAGTCTTGAAAAATAGTTAGAAAACAGAAGCATTTTACAAATCAAATAGTTGCAGCACTATTTGATGACTCTCAGAGGCCAGATATTATGAGGCAAGTGAACATTTCTTGATCCACTGAGGTGGAACAGATGGTGCTGATATTTATGTTCATGCTGGTGCTGTAACCTCAACTACTTTGCATTGGAAAATGTGACCCAGGAACATAGACAAGGGTTGACATTCTTCACCACTCATGTGACTGCCACAAGACATTTTTACACCTGAACTCAGACGTCTAACATCTCATTTCAATTACGTATTTCACCTAACTTTCCTATTCAGAAAGCACACCCTACTGTCCTAGTTACAGTCTAGCAGTAAAAAGAAAGAACTAAGCTTGACCAGTGGGGTCCCTGAGGAGTAGTAGTAGCAACAGCACCCGGGAGTCTGTTATAAATGGCAATTCCAGAATATTCTAAACCTGCATAATTAGAAACTGTAGTTGGAAACTAAAAATCTGTGTTTCATTTTGATGAGAAGTATTTCATATAGCCTAAGATGCCCCCAAAATCACCACAATTTTTCAGTCTCAGGCTCCCAGAATTTTGTTTTAAAAGTTTTCCCCATGGTTCTGGAGCACTCTACTCGATAGCAAACACCTACGAAACCTGCCACACCCTTTCACCTGTGCCTATGTAAAACTCCACGAGTGACTTTCAGGGCAATCGATTTTACTATCAGACTGGTGCTGACGTCATGGCTGCCCTTCAGTTGCCCCCAGGCCTCTTTTTGCTCTGGTCCTCTCATTGGTGCTTGACTTCTGGGGAAAGACCCTGAACACTTACATCCCAAAGAAGCCATCTCAACAGTTATTCAGCCACGCGTCTAAGGGCGAGCATTAATATACAGTCCGTGCATATTACTTCCCAGGTGTTTATGAGTAAATTATGAAGTTTGAATTTCAGTTCTCATGTGGCTAAAGAAAAGGTTCAGTGGTTAAGAATGCTGGCAACTCTGCTGAGGACCAGAGTGCAGTTCCCAACACCTAGGTCAGGCAGCTCACAACTGCCTGCAACTCCAGCTCAAAGGGATCCAACTGGTCTCCAGGACACCCACAAAAAGGTGGCATTCACTCACACAGATGCAGGCCACATAAGTAAAAATAAATCTTTAAAAATTTTTTAAGTTGATTAACAAAATGTTTGTTTTAAATTTGGTGCTTCAACTTCAGAATTTCACAGTGTGCTAAAATAACCAACTTGTCAATTGCTTGTTTTTGCAAGATAAACATTATTAATTTATTTATAAAAGTATTAAAATGTTTAAATTTGAACTGTATTGCTAATTTTACAAAAGTTTTCTATAATTCAAATGTAACTTACTACCATTAAACTTAATTTAATATTTTCTCTACAGCCAAGTAAGATTTATTTAAAATATATTGATTTTATATTGTTATATCCTGACAAAATTATGATATATTACAATATACTAATATTTCTGTAAATATAGCTAAAGCTCTATTGCTTTGTCAAAATAAAATTGAAAGAACAACTGTATCAAGTATTTGGGTTTTTTTAATAGATATAAGTTTATTTTGGTTTATAAAAATAAAAGTCATTGTAAAAACAATAAGCAACTTTGAAGAAGACTATCGAAGCAGATACTGTTTCATATTCATTCTCACCCAAAATAACCATCAAATTAAGACAGTAAACTATAACTACAGTATTTTGAATCTCGATGCCTAAAAAAATAATCTTGCCATAACTGAAAACTGTAACTGGAGAAAGAATGTCTGAATTGAAAAAGGAAACCTGTTTTGGATATAAATCTCAACTAGGATTTAAGTCCTATTGAGAAACATAATTAGTAATGGCCAGAAATCATGTATCATGATGAAACTAAATGGATCAGATTATGTGGATTTATATATTATGAGGCTGAATAAAAAGCCGATGACAGATTAAGTCATAAACATAAACGTATACATCAATGAGAGAAGTAAAGGAAAACCCAGCATGAATTTATAACACAGTAAAGGATGGACTTTCCATATGAATGGGGGAAAACACCCTCCATCACACACACACACACACACACACATGCCCCTTTTTTGAAGACTGTATACACTGTTAGGTTAGGTACCCTGATTTTCCATGAAACACTGTCTTGTTTAATAGACTCAGGTGATTCCAGAAGATAAATGATAAATCAGGGTTATGGGAGAAGACTTGGGTTTGATAAATAAGATTATGGATCTTTTTTTTTAGAAAAAAAATCATTTTCTCAAAAGATTTTTCTTTGAAAAGTGGGGCTAGGGACAAGAAAGTCAATTTGTCACATTTAAGCAGTATAAGGGCTAACCGGAACAGTGGGACCCTCACTTCTAAGGTCTTGATCACATATGGCCTACCCAGCTGAATCCCTACTTTCTCTAAAGGCACTGACTTGGAATGACAGAATAATATTACTTAATCTATACATAAAAAAGGATTATTTGTCACTGTAAAGTAGCAGGACACAGCACCTGTGGGAACAACAGACCTTAGTCGAAAGCCCATTTTCCCATCAGCCTGGGAGCAGACAGCTATAAGGCAATGTTTACTAGAAACAAAATGGTGCCCGGAGCAATAAGTTCCTGATAAGGGCTCACCCATGGGAACACCCTAATCTTGACCTTTTCCAAAACTGACACCTCTTCCTGACTCACCCACTGCTGCCTCTGGTGTTGAAAAACCTCGGCATCAAAGCGCCGGGCACTGAACCAAACCCTCTGCCCAAGAACCGGGGCCAGACCACTGGCTGCAAATGCAAGAGGTGATTTATTGAGTACACAGGCGCCTGCGGATGCTACTGCAACTCGGGTGCAGAGCATAGTGGGCTTTCAGGGAGTACAATATTTATAGAGTTTCAATGGTTACATAAGTAACAGGCATTTCATTGGCTCATCTTGGGGGCAGGGGTAGTTCCCACAGACTAAGTTTCCTGGTATTACTTTATGAAAGACCCAGGCATACTTCAGCAATCATTATCCTGGTCCCATGACTACTATGGTGATCATAGACACAACTGGGGGCAAGGGTAGTTGCCAAGGACTAGGTGTCCTGGTATTGTCATATGAAAGTTCCCAGCACGCTTCAGTAATTATTATCCGGGTCCCATGATTGCTATAGTGATCAGACACAATTGGGGGCCAGGGTAGTTGCCAAGGACTAGGTTTTCTAGTATTGTCATATGAAAGTTCCCAGCACGCTTCAGCAATTATTATCCGGGTCCCATGACTGCTATAGTGATCACAGACATCCTGTTTTGAGGGTGAGACACCTGGTCTGGGTTTCTTTCATTAGGCAACGGTCTGGCCTTGCTTTTCTTTTCCTAGGGGGTCCTGGGTAGGGGTCTTTCAGTGTTAGGGTAGGAATAAAGTAGAACCTTCTTGAGAAGCCTTCTGGAAGCCTTCTTGAAGTGTTCTTTGCACCACTGACTTGTCTCTGTGTCATCAATCCCAACACCCTCCGCACATTCTCGGACACAGGCTGTGCAGCAGGCGCTGCAAGCACCCACAACAGGCCACCTTTAAAAGTGTAAAATAAAACTTGCGTATGAAAGGTAACTTTCTTGTACCAGGGGGATGTTGTTCCCATAGCCACTGTCACAAAGAAAAACAAAACAAAGCAAAACAAAACAAAGGAAATAAAACCAAACAAAAAACAACCTAGTTATATTAATGTTCATCTTCCTAATCATTTCCTAATCAGTGTCCTGGTCCAAATCCCTTTGCCATCTCACATTTTCAATTTACTACAATGCCCAGCTTCTGATATAAATTTTGGGACCCAAGTGTTTCTTTGAGTCTTCATTTTTCTGTACTCCAATATATAAGCAAAAATTACTAAATAAAAGTTGTATTCTTCCCTCCTGTGGTAGAATATTATCTTAAGATGTGTGACTTTTGTTTATGCTGCATTTGTTTAACTCTGTAAAGCTACGATTCTTTGCCTGTCTAAAAAAAATACCTGAAACTCTAATAGTTATAGCATGAGCGAGGATAGGTGTGGCTGGCAGGTAGAAAGTATAAATAAAAGGAGAAAACCGGGCCGGGTGTTGGTGGCGCACGCCTTTAATCCCAGCACTCGGGAGGCAGAAGCAGGCGGATCTCTGTGAGTTCGAGGCCAGCCTGGTTTACAGAGCTAGTTCCAGGACAGCCTCCAAAACAATACAGAGAAACCCTGTGTCGAAAAACCAAAAATAAAAAAAAAAAAAGGAGAAAACCAAGGAAGAGCAGCAGGAGAACAAGGAGAGAAGGACATCAGGAACTAGCCTCCCAGCCACCCAGAAAGGAGTAAAGTAAGATGTATAGAAGTAAGAAAGATAGAAGCCAGGAGGGAAAAGGTAGATGGGTTAATTCTAAGGTAAGAAAAGCTGGTTAGAAACAAGCCAAGCTAAGGCCGGCATTCATAAGTAATAAGACTCTGTAAGTATTTGGGAGCTGGAGGGAGGGGACTCAAAACAGTCAAGAGTAAAACATTACTGTTTCATCTACTGTTTTATGTCAGTTTAACTGGGGTCCCCACTGACCTTTAGAAGGAAAAGTGAAATTTTACTTATCCTAACCAGTATTAGGAAGAATGCAAGAATTCAATTTAGAAAGCTTTCCAAACTATTTTGAAGGATGGTAACATTTCTGAGGTAGCATCTGAGGTTTTCCTTGTTTGGGTTTGTTGTTGCTGTCGTTTTGAGAACAGGGTATATGCAGATTCTCGGGTCTCGAACCATGCGAATTTTGATTCAGGAGGTTATTTAAAACAGGCTACTAGTTTACCTTGCAAACGCGAGGTTCTTAAAGACAGCGTTATCTCGAAATCCCCCAAAAGTAATCCAAATCTAAGAACTTCAGCCTTTTAACCTGAGGAGGGAGAGCCTTGCCCACAACAAAAATGGGTCCTTATTGACGTCTCACGCGCCTGAGCGTAACATCCGCCCTCTCCTTGTCACATGACCAGGAACCTACTTCCGCTACGGCTGCTGGAAGGGGCCAGTCCTGGACATTCTCGCGTCTGTCCCAACCCGCAGCGGCCTCTCCGCCGCTCCTTTGCCCGGGCGCCTCGGTGCGCTCGGCCAACGGCCTCTGCGAGCGCCCGCCCGAGCGCCCCGGAGCCGGCGGGCGGCGGCCCTCTCCAGGGGACCCTCCAGCGGGCCCGGGGTGAGTACGGTAGTCTCCCCAATCGGGACTCAGGGCCTGGCGCAGCGGCCGTGACACCCGTCTTCCAGGCCGGGCAGAGCGGTCCCGGCCTTGGCTTGTCCTCAGGTCCCTGCCCTGCAATTATCTAGGGCCAGCTTCTTCACCCTTTCTACCTCGGCATCTTGTTCTGTGGAACAAAAATCGGATTTTACTGACCACGCAAACAAACAAATCTACTACTTCGGGGTTAGGAAGCGGGAGGCGCGTCTGGAAGCTTGGACCTGGGTTTTTTGAGCATCTCTTCCTCGGTCCCACGCACCTCACAGTGTGACCTTGAGCCTGTCGCGTTTGTATGTGTAAAAGCCGTGTAATTAAAGAAAGGCCTTTGGGAGGTCTGGAGCTGGCCAAAACATCCTTGCTTGCGGGTGGCTGTGCGGGCTCGCTCTTAGAGGAGCTGGGATCCGGGGCCCTTACATCCCCCGTCCTCCGTTTGCAAAATCCAGCCCTTGTGGTAATTGTAAAACACGAGAAAATGAACCAGAGTCTTGGCTTAGGAGCTGGGCGCATCTCTGCCAAGAGCAGCGCGTTCCCTGAATTGGTGGCGCTTTCTAATTGAGAGGAATAAAGCGTGAGGCCAGTAGTGCTATGCCGGCCTCCTCGGGGAGACCGTGAAAGAGAATGTCTCCCTCAGTCCCATGGGCTACTAATGAGGTTCCCCAAAGAAAACCCTTTAGGGACAGTAGGACAGTTTAGTCCTAGTTAGTGTTTATTCTGAGCTCGAAGAGTGAGGAGGGGTGTGGGGAAGGCTGTCTTTTTTTTTTTTTTTTTTTTTTTTTTTGCTTTCAAGGACTTGTGAATCGAGATAACTTTTCAGTGGTGGTGTCTGATGTTCCTGAGTACACACTTTTTACTCAGCTGCTGCTCCGGGAGGAACTGTGTGTTGCCTCCCTTCCTGTCCGATAAGGCGACCTCTTTAGGCTTACAAGGTTTTTCTGTCTGTCCTTTCTCCAGTAGATTTCTTGTTGTTAATAGATACGAGATTGGGGTTCTTATTAATTTTTGAGTTCTTTAAAAATTCTAGGTTTGAGTCCCCTGTCAACAAAGATTCTATAGAATCTCCGGTCTAATTTGTCCAGAAACTTCTCTATTTGAGGCAGTGCCATTTGCCAGCTCTTGGTGTTATTTCCTGGGCTCCTTGGAGCCCTTTGCAGCAAGTCCTCAGCTGTCCTATGTAACGTCAAGGTTTTGCCTGTTTTCCTCCAGCAGATTCCCAGTTTCAGCAGTTCTTACATGAAGGCCTTTGATCCATTTTGTCTTCATTTTTTTTCATAGTTTTGTTTTTGTTATATGTGCATATATTCATACAGCAAGTTTATG